ATGCACTACAGCCATATGGCCTGGTGGCTGCCCCACTGAGCAATTCAGAGTATTTCCACCATCACAAGAAGGGCTGTTGCACAGACCTGGGGTATGACACTGAAGCTGGAAAGGCCTCCACATTATTGCGCCTCATTCCCATCCCAGCCTCCACATTGCCAATGAAGAAACTGAGGCTCACATCAGGACCCAGCCCTGCCCAAGTCCTCCCAAATTCCACCCTTCAGTGTCTAACTTGGGGTGCTTTACACACTGAGCTACACCCCCAGCCCTTTTAATTTTTTAATTCATTTTCTCTTTTGAGATGGAGTCTCACTAGGTTACTCAGTCTGATCTTAAACTTGTGATCCTCCTGCCTCAGCCTCCCAAACAGCTGGGATTACAGGTGTGCACTCCCCTTTCTGGTTTTTAGTGTCAATTGTGTGCGACGACTCTCATCGGCCCTTGTCTTCCTGATCCCTGCCTCTGTGGCAGGCAGAGGGGCCTTCCCTCCTACAGACGGAGACTGAGGCTGCATGGGTAGCAAGAGGTCTCCCTGGCCCAGGCCCTTTCTTCACCTCCTTGGGCCCCTCTCCTCCCTGCTCTGTCTTGTTCTGCTCCGCTTGCTTGGCCCTGAGCTGGAGCTTTGTCTCATCTCCCTAGCACCTCAGGAGCTGGTGTTCTGCTCCGAGCCATGAAGTGCAAGTTCCAGCCACGCAGTCTGCTAGGGGTGGGCCGGGATCGGACCACAGGTCTTTGTGACCACAGAGTCCTGTCTTGAGGCTATGATCTCTCCTGCCTTTGGTGGAGTTAGGAGAAAAAGTCCACGTGATCTGAATTCTCTTCACAGGGTCACTGGGAATATGCCTGCTCACTCGAGGCCTCAGTTTCCCAGTCTGTTAAAAGGGTTCTGACTTCACAGAGCTGCTGTGCAGGTCAAGAAGGAGCTTGTTGCTTGTGCACTCGGGGTGAAGAAGCCCTCTGGGTCAGTAGTTCTGAGCTGGTTTTGAGAAATGCCTCCCTCAAAGCACCAGAGGAGAGCCATGTGCCCCTGCCCGGGACAAACGCACACACCTAACCTCATGCATATATGATATTCTTGTTCTTCGGGGGTTCAGAATCCCTGCAGCCTCCCTGCCCAAGGCCTGAGCCTCTGATCAGGAATCTCTGATTCTCGTGAGAACTTGGCCCTGTCCTGAGCAGCAAGTTTCGTGAGTAAGACTTCTTTTGCTTCATAGATAGGGCTCTTAGGCCCCTGGCTCCTTAGGGCAGAGCCCAGGCTCATAGGTCCCATCAAGCTCCCAGTACAGAGCCCAAGTGACGTCCCTACTGGTACCGATTCCAGGAGAGATAGGATATGTAACAGGCCTTCCCCAGAAGGTAGTCAGGGCAGGGCCAGGGTTAGAAAAAAATCACCCATTCCCAGGGTCCACACACAGGGGTTCTGATTTAGTAGGAATCTATATTTTTTAAAAATCCCCAGGAGATTCTGTAGCTGCCAATTTGATGACCACTAACCTAAAATCTTTACCTGGAATAGAGTTTTATTTTTCTAATGGAGAAACTACACATTTATCCCTCTATCCCTCCATCCACTGGACATATATTAATTGAACTCTAGCCCTGGACTGAGCACGGGCTAGATGCTGGTGCAGCCCTGCCCTCAGCAGCTGGCCGCCTTCCTCTGTCCCTGCCCGCCTCTCTGTGGAGGGTCAGAACCCTTCCCAGAAGTGGCCACTTCAACTGTTTTCTCCCCAGGGCTCTTGAGAATCTAGGTTCCCAGCTGGCAGGAACCTGAAGTTCTTTGGGTCCATCCCCCTGTCTGGATTTGAGAGATCAGTAGTCCTCTGCTATCCTCAGATGCACGTTCCTGTCCCTCTAAAAATCCTGCCTAAAAATTCTCTTTTGTCATATTTCCGTTTCTCTGGCTCTTGCTTATATCAACCTCCTGCTCCTACACGGAACACTTACAGAGGCCCTTTTGGTACCAGACAGACACTGGGTCCCTGTGCTGGGACCTAGAGAGGGAGGTGAAAGTTCTGGCCTCTAGGAACTCACCCAGCTGGGAGAGACAGGAGGTGGACGAGCTGCCACCATCCTGGACCCGATGGGGAATATGGGACTGTGGTCTTGTGATATAAGACAAATATATAGTTGGTCTTGTGCCTGGTGGATAGCAGAGCTCCTAAGACTCTACTAGTTTCCTAAGGGATAGGGCTGTCCAGAGCATCTCGAGTTCTAATATTTGGTCTTTGATCCCAGTTCCTGACATATTAATCCCTCGGAATTTCTCAGGGGCTAGGGGCATCTTTTGTTCTGATGAGGTGACTCTTGGTGGTCTTCTGAATGGGGCTAGTCACCAGAAAGACCAAGGCATGATTTGCTTGAAGCCTTCAGCCCCACCCCCACCTTCTGGGAAGGTGAGAGGACTGGGGACTGAGTTAATATTCCTTCTTACCCATGTGATGGAGCCTTCATAAAGGTGCTGAGGGGTGGGGTGCAGAGACCTTCTGGATGGTAAACAGCCATGTGGCAGGAGGTTGGCACACCCCAGATCCACAAGGACAGAACCCCTGTGCTCAGGATGCTTCCCAGCCTTGCCTACCTTGTCACTGGCTGTCCATCTGTGTCCTTTATCATATCTTTTGTTCTATAATAAGTAAATGTGTTTTTCTGAGCTCTGTGAATCATCATAGAAAATTCTCTAGCCTGAGGAGAGGGTTGTGGGAACTTGCAGTTGCTAGCCAAGTTGGACAGAAGGTAACTTGGGGACCCACTGCTAGGGACGGGCATCTGAGATGAGGGGGCTGTCCTGTGCATGGAACCCTTAACCTGTGGGGTCTGCACTAACTCTAGAAAGCATCGTAATAGAATTGTGGGACACAACTGGTGTCCACAGAGTAGAATGGGTTGGTTTGAAAGAAGCTTTTTCTCTATTTGGTGACCAGAAGCACAGTAGGAGTGAGTCAGGGAAAGGAAGTTTTCCTATACAAGGGGGCTCCAGGGATCAGAGGAGGGGCCTCACAGCAGGAGCAGAGTCTTGTGGGGGCCACAGGGCCTACTGCTTTCTTTCTGGTGAAGAACAGGCAGGGCTGCACACCTCAGGGCGGACCTACCATTCTGCATGGATTCTGGCCTTTAGCTTTCCTATGAGGTCGTATTTCCGGGTCCCTTGTGTTCATCCCGCCTCTGTCTCCCTCTTCCTTCTCTAGAGCTTCCTGACTGCTCACTTCCTGCTGCCCAGGTGTGGATTCAGAGATAGTGGACCCAGGCTATGAGCAGGGCAGACCTCCTGTCAGAGGCCTCCTCTGCTCCTGTTGGTCTCATCTGAGTGACTTGGCTTGCCTGTTTTCTTGGGTGGGGAGATTGAAACTTGGAGGCTGTGTTGGGGAACCTGGGCAGGAACCCGAGTGGGCTCACTTGGTGTGGAAGTCAAACACCCGGAAGTGCTGATCTCAGAGATGTGGCCCTGCCTGTAACTTGAGCCATCTACACGGAGCTCCACTAGACTTCAGAGTCCTGAGCCTCCACTCTGGTCACAAGGAGTCAGAATGGCCATTTTAGCAAGATGGCTGGATGACCTGTAGGAACATGGGAAGTCTGCCCAGGAGCTCCTCTTCTTGCCATGAGTATGTGTTTAGGGCAGTGATGGTTGTGGCCAAGGTCACTGTCAGGCCCCTTGGAAGCCTCCTTGGTGTGAGTTGTGGGGCCAGATTGCCTCTGTGGGACAGAGCAGAGTGTAGCGCTTGGTGGCTCCTCAGCTCCAGATCCAGCCCTTAGGCTGGTCCTGCCCTCAAATCCTTTTGGGCTAAGACTCCAATTGGGAAATTATCTAGACTTCTAGGTTTTCTTAAAAAACTAAATGATGTGGGGTGATGAGCTCCATTGCATGGGACAATAATCCATTTCCCCATGAGCTCTGAAACCCATAGTCCTTCCCCCAAGTTCTCTTCTGGTCATGGATACTTTGAGGATAAAATCCCAGGAGCCTCTTAAAACACAGGAAAGGATGCTCAGCCTCACTCTTAATATGATAATTAAAAACTAAATCAATATCCATTGTCATTTTCCATCTCTCTTACCAGCAAATATAAAAAAAGGTTGATAACACACTGTGTGGACAGTGGCAGAGGGAATCGGTCCCCTCACATATTAGTGGGAAAGTAAGCTTGTGCAATCACTAAATAAGATGCACAGTCTCACTCTCTATCAAAATTGCGAAACAATGTCTACCTCTTGACCAAAAAACACCCATTCTAGGAATTCATGCCACAGATGTGTGCTCACATGGGAAATGTAATCCTAATACCCAGTACAAGGTTAGTCAGTAAGTATAGTACCCTTACAATAACTAAAGATTGAAACTAACCCACTTGCCCTTCACTAGGGGACTGGCTGGTAAAATACAGGACAGTCATACAATTACATATGATATAATGAGGAGCTCTTTATGTTTTGATATGAAGAATGATCTCCAAAATACATTAGTAACAGAGAAAAGAGAAAAGGAGGGTACAGAACAGCTTTGTGAGGGGGTAGGTATCTGCATAAAGAGGCATAAGAGCCAGTAGCAGTGGCTACCTCCAGAGAGGGGACTTCAGAGGTTGGGGTACAGGGTTGGGGGGAGTCTTTTCACTGTCTGTACTTTAAAAAAAAAAACCTTTTGAACTTTGAGTCATGTCCATGTGTTACCTACTCAAAGAATAAAAGAAGCTAAAGATTTATTTAAGAGACCTGGATTCTGTGGTTCCACCACTACAGGATTCCAAAGCTTTGCAACTTGGTGAGCCAAAGTCTTGGTGACCCCAGGAGGCTGATCTTGAGTGTGACCAAGCTTCTGGGTCCCTCTCTGGCTCTCTCCAGCCATGCTGTTCTGAGCTGGGCCACAGCAGTCCCTGTGCCCCTGAGCAGCTCCAATAGAGGCTTCCCTCCCAGCACCGAGCAGCTGTGGTGTGAACTGCAGTGTCTCCAAGGACACAGCCCCGGGCCTCTTACCTTCTCTGCCTTCTCTATCCTCCCAGGGGAGCCTTCTCTGTCGTGCGCAGGTGTGTGAAGGTGCTGGCTGGCCAGGAGTATGCTGCTAAGATCATCAACACCAAGAAGCTCTCAGCCAGAGGTAGGTCCCTGACCCAGGCCTGCCCACCTCCAGGCTCCCCTTCCCTGCCGCCCTCCTCCACCCCTGGGCTTAGAACCAAGACCCAAGTCCGTCCCCCTGGATGTTGGCATGGGAGTGCTCCTGCCATCCCCTCTGCCTGATACCGTAACCTGGCTGCTTACATGGCTGGCCCTGTCTCAACCTTCAGGTCTCAGCTCTGTTACATCCTTGGAAGAGCTCCCCTGGCCACCCAGTCTGAGGGAGTCTCCCCCTCTTCTGTTTCATACTGTTTATTTCCGTCACGGCTTTCCCCTGACCTAGCCTCATCCTATTTGCTGGTCTGTCTCCTTGTTTAACATCTTTTTCTCTGGACTGTAAGCTCCAAGAGGGTGGGCGGGTCTCATTCTGAGCTCTCTGCTCAGCACCTGGGACAGCGCCCACACTAGCTACTCCAAGAGCCCAGTGAACTGCAGGTGAGCTCTGGTTCAACCACACCAGCCCACTCTCTGGTCCCAAAACAAGTGGTCTCGGAGGTGACCTAGGTTTGCGGAAAGATAGCCAGCTAATTCTAACTTGCAGAAAGGTTTGGGAACCTCAGGCCTAGGACCTTACCAGTGGTCCTGGAACATCAGCGTCAATGTGCCTGTGAGACTGTGAGAAATTCAAAGCACTGGGCCCCACTCCAAACCTAAAAAACCCCAATCTGCATTTTAACAAGATGCCTGGGCGAGTCCCATGGACATGCAATTTTGAGAAGGCTGCCCAGAAAACTGCTCCTCATTGGCCTGTGTTGAGGGGCAGTAACGGCGGGGACCACGGTCGGTGTGTTGGAGAAGATACTGTCTTCACAGATGCCAATCTCCACCCCAAATGAAGCAGTGTGGGAGTGGCCTCTGGGCCCATCTGCTGAGGGTGGTTCTGAGGGATGGTGTGGGTGAGGTGGTGAGCTATGCAGAGGAAGGGAGCCATCTCGTGAGGGCAGGCTTTGTGTCCAGGTGTTTGAGAGGCGCAGCTGGCAGGCCTAGGCTTCCTGGAGGTCCCGCTGTACGGGGTGCTCCCGCTGCTCCCTGCAGGCCTCCCGGCAGGCTCCGTGTTGCACTCTGTGTTCTGCCCTTCATCTCTCCAGTTCAGTGCTGTTGGACCAGCGCTTTCTCCTAGTCACTGACCTCCCCTGGTGTCCTGCCGGGACAAGAGGCTCGGCAGAGGCGGGGCCTCTGAAGGCCCAGGGCTCACCCATGGCATGGCAGGGTGAAAAGGCCAGACTAGTGGAAGTTCTGGAGCCAGGGGCAAGGAGCAGGGTGGGCAGGAAAGCTGGCAGGAGTCAGAAGGCTGGCTCTCATGTCCAGAGGCCTGGATTGGCTTTACCGTGGCTGTGTGACTAGTGGCAGTCTTGTGGCTTTTCTGTGCCTTGTGTCTCTGGGGATCAAGGGAGATGTCCCAATCTCTGAGATAGAGGGAGGATGTGCTTAGAGTTATAACTTGGTGGTGACAGGATGAGGTTGTCCAGAGGGGTGTTAGGAATAGTGATCTCCCTGGATGCTGGGGGACTGGAGGGCCTTGCCGCCATCTCAGGGGCACACACACACACACACACACACACACGCACGCGCACACACACATACATACACACATACAGAGGCTGAGAGACATAGGTGCATAGGAGAGTGGAAAGGCCACCTCTCTGTTTGGGAGGTGACTAAGCGTTCCTGGGACAGTGTGTGCTCTGGCTATAGCGGCGGTCACCTCCAAGACCCTCCCTCTGGCTATTGGTTGAGCTTTGGCCCCGTGGCCCAGGCCTAGGTGAGTTTGTGAAGAGTGGGGGCAGGGAAGTTATGGGGAACATTCTGGAAGAAGTCTGCCAACTGCCAGGCTCTGCGCCCAGCGGGAGAGGAGCAGCGCCTCTTTGTTTGTCACTCACGGTGCCTCCAGGGGGGTCTAGAGCTGAGCTTTTGGCAACACACTCTGAACTCCTCCTGCTGGCACTCCTGGGGGACTTCTGGCAGCTCCCGCAGGGGCTGTGCCCATGGGGGCTGGAGGGGCTGGGGGAATCTGTTCTACCCTCCCAGGGAGCTGCGGCTTCCCTGTCCCCACCCTGCCTGGCCTCTCCTAGCAAGTGATCCTAGCAAGTGATTCCCAAACCCAGAAGCCATTTCTATATGTATCTTAAAATTAGTCTTAAAAAATGCTTATAGTATAATTCAAAAAACTATAAAGAAATTAAGTGAAAAGTAAAATTTTGCCTGTCCCAATCCTTGCCAAATGTCCCTGGGAGTCTTCTTAAAAATGCAGCTGCTGGAGCTCTGCGGGTGAGGGGTGGAGTCAGCGGGTGAGGGGTGGGGTCAGCGGGTGAGGGGTGGAGTCAGCGGGTGAGGGGTGGGGTCAGCGGGTGAGGGGTGGGGTCAGCGGGCGAGGGGTGGAGTCAGCGGGTGCGGGGTGGAGTCAGTCGATGTGGACCGAGCTCCTGCATGGCAGAATCTGGTTGCTGCAGCTGGCTGGCAGAGGCTCAGAGAGGCTCCCCGTGCCCCTCCTTGTTAGGGCTCTGGACATGTGGGTGTGTCCAGTGCAGCCAGAGGAACTAGCTTGGGGACTGTGAGCTCCTGACTCCATGCCCCACCCCCAGCCCAGCTGGGTCACTAGTGGGGCTCCCAGGGGCTGAGTCTCAGGACTGGGTGGGAAGCAGAGTGGGACCTCATTGGGCTGCACCTGAGTTCATCGCAGTCCTTCGAAGGAGCCCCAAGGAGGCAGTAAGGCACCTGTCTCCTTTCTTCCCCAGTCTCCTCCCCACCTTGCCTGGACCTTGGAATTACTTCTCCAGCCTCCCAGCATTGGTAGCCCTGTTGATGCCCTATGCAGCCAGGGGGCATTTCCCATTCCCAGACTCCGAGGCCTCTTTCCTCCCTGGCTCGTGTGCCCCCTGTCTGCTGGAGCCCAGTCCCTCTGGACACAAAACCGCACCAGATGTGTGACTGTACTTCCTCACAGGCCTGGGCTGTCCTGCCCTGCCCTGCCCTGCCCTGCTGGGACTGTCTGGCCCCCAGGGACCTCATCCAGTGTCCACCAACTTAACCTCAATACCCTGTCGGTGAGCTACCCACCCAGGGAGGGAAGAGTGCTCCCAAGATGTCACGGCGGGCATTAGAGATGATGCTCCCAGGTACCAGGCAGGAAGCTGGAGACTCTTGGCTTCCGGAGACTTCTTACCAGTGAGGGACTCTTCTGAGCTGGATGGACTGTAGAGAATTAATGAATTATCAGAAAGGGAGGCAACACAGGATGGTCATTATGGGTGCGTATTGAAATCCAGCTCAGCCGTTTGTCTGCACTGCTACCCTGGAAAGCTGCCTGGGAGCTTTATCTTAGGCCCTGGGAAGTCGGCAGGGACCCACAGAAGAGGTCCGCCCTCTGTGTGCCGGTTTTCTAGGGAATGAAGCTGAAAAGAATATTAAACACATAAATCAGCTGGGTAGTCTCAGGAAGAGGTGAGTGATGTCAAGAAAGGCAGGATAATGGGGAAGCAGTGGGACAGGAGGGAGGCTCTGCAGGAGGTGACATTGTCCTGGGACCTTCCTATGAGGAAAAGGCAGCTGTCCCTGGGAAAGCGTTCCAGGCAGAGGGAACTGCATGTGTAAAGGGCCTGTGGTGCAAAGGGGCTTGGTGTGCCTGAGGCCAGAAAGGTGATTCTGTGGCTGTAGTTTCCTGCCCACATGAGGCAGTACCCAGCCTGCTACTGCTGGCTGGGGTGGAGTCTGGATCATATCATAGGTACATGGGGAAGCTGTTGGAGTTTGACACCAAGGAGTGACAGGATCTTACTTAGAGTTTTAAAGAGCTACTTGCTGGGTGCTGTGGTGCATGCTTGTAATCCAGTGACTGAGGCGGGGTGGAGGGGAGGGCTCAGGCAGGAGGATCACAAGTTCAAAGTCGGCCTCAGTAACTTAGTGAAATCCTGTCTCAAAATAAAATATGAAAAGGATTGGGAACGTTACTCAGTGGAAAAGTGTCCCTGGGTTCCGTACCCAGTACTGCAAACAAATAAATAAACAAATAATAAAAGCTCTTCACCTGCCATGAATGATTGTGTGGGGCAGGGAGTGAGGTCCTCAGAGGTCTGAGTTCTAAAAGGGCCACCGGACAAGTGATTTTGATAAGGGGGTCAACTTTTTTTTTTGGTCATCGGGCCTCCATCTCCCCATCTACACATCAGAATGAGAAGTCAGAGGTCAAGAGAAACATGGTCCCTGTCTTGAGGTTCTCCATACATTAGAAAATGACAATGTTGCAAAGACGGTTACAAATGTATATATTTGCATCCAATAAATACTGCTTTTAATGGTGAAAGGTACCATGCAGGGCAATTGTGATATGCCTAAAATGATAATCCCAGTGGCTCAGGAGGCTGAGACAGGAGGATCGAAAGTTCAAAGCCAGCCTCAGCAAAAGTGAGGCACTAAGCAACTCAGTGAGACCCTGTCTCTAAGTAAGATACAAAATAGGGCTGGAGATGTGGCTCAGTGGTCGAGTACCCCTGAGTTCAGTCCCTGGTACCCCCATACCCACCAAAAAAGATAAAAACGATAGCTCCTGGCATTCCAGTAGGGAGGTCTGGTAACCTGACACAAGTTGAACGTTGTGTGACCAGCGTGCCACCAGTGGAACTGTGCTCCTGGCTGACCTCACGTGGAGAAAACACCAACATTCCAGATTTGGGCTCTGCATGTGTCACCTGGGCCAGAAGATTCCCTGTCCCCTCGGATAGGCCTGGCCTTGACCTGCCTGACTTCTGGTTCTGTGGAGCTGGGGTGGGGGCAACTGTACGAAGCAGGGAGAGGGTCCAGCTCCCTCTGAGTGCTCCCAGTCAGTCCTTGATGGGAGGCCCCTCATTTGCCCAGGAACCGACATCCTCTGCCCTGGAGGAAACAGGAGACTGGGGGCGGGGGGAGCTGGATGCCTCCCCAACCCCCTCCTCTTCCCTGGCCTGCAGCAGGTCTTTCGGGGGGGGGGGGCGGCTGAGCCTATGGAAACAGAATTGGACTTAATTGCTTTGCTGATGGCAAAGCCGCATTTCAGCATCGATCTTGGCTTTGGTAGCCTGGAGGGCAGCCAGGGAATGCTCTAGTGGAGGAGGAGGGGGAGGGGGAGCTGGGTGCCCAGGGACAAGAGCTGGGACTTTCTCCATCTCTGTCACCTTCCTGGGTACCTCCTCTGCAGGGGCCATTCAGTGGCCTAGGTTTTGGTTCTGGCTTAGCCTCTGAGCATCTTTGTGAGTTCCCTTCTGCAGGCTCCACTTTTCCCACCAGCAGATGGGGGCGGGTGGAGGCGGTGGCTCTGAGTTGGAGCAAGGAGAACAGCTCAGCAGAGTTTAAAGCCCAACTCGGAGCCCGCCTCAGCAACAGTGAAGCCTAAGCGCTCAGTGACACCCCATCTCTAAATAAAATATAAAATAGGGCTGGGGACGGGGCTCAGGGACCAGTGCCCCTGAGTTCAATCCCTGATACCCACTGCCCTCCCCCCCAAAAATCCCAACTCTGGAGCCTGACTGCCTGGGTAAAAAGCATGGCTCCCTCACTCCCCGTGGGGGAGATGGGGGACAAGTACTTACTGTATGAACCTCTGTTTCTTCCTCTATAAAGCCAGAAAAAAGGATAGTACCTCTCTCAAAGAATTGTCATGAGGGCTTTAATGGCACATAAAGCACTCTGCACAGGGCCTGGCACATGGTAGATACAGGTTGAGCATCTCTGAGCAAAACACTCTCAGTCCAAAATGCTGCAAAATCCACGACTTTATGAGAGTTGACATGCAGCCACAAGTGGGAAATTCCACTCCATGAAACTTCATTTCATGCACAAAGCTATTAAAAATATTATACCTTCAGTCTGTGCATAAAATGTAAATGAAACCAAAAAAATTTGTGGCCCGCTTGAGTCCCATGCCCAAGGTATCTCATTATGTATATGCAAATATTCCAAAATCTGAAAAATTTTTTTTGAACTCTGAACAATTCTGGTCCCCAGTGTTTCAGATAAAGAACTCTCAGCCGGTATTCTTCATTTGTTAGTAGCTTCTCTTTAACCATTTTGTTTTAAAAAGTAGACATTAGCTATGGAACTGTGAGAAAAGCACCACAAAGGGAATTGGAAAAACGGCTGATCCTGAACAAGACCTCTCTCCCCGTGGGTGGGGAGACCCAGGGGACTTGGGCAGGGGTCATGGAAGGCAGGGTGAGAATGGGGGGCCAGGTTGAGGCTGTCACTTACCCTGCAGGTCCCTGGTCCCAGAGTCCTCAGAAAGGAAATCGGCAATAGCTCTTCTGGAGAGAATAGCCACTCCTTTAGGAAGATTCATTCATCGAACATTTGTTCTTTCATTCAGCTATTCTTGAGCACCTACTGTGTGCCAGGCATTTAGGCAGATGCTGGGGTACAACACAGCACCTGCTCTTAAGGATGCAGATGTCCATGGGGGCCCTGAGAGTGCAGAGGAAGGCCCTGCACTCAGGATAGGTGGCCAGGAGCTGGTGACATCAATGAACGGACGGGTGGGAGTGAGTGATGGCCGGTGAATGGCAGCTGGGAGGCCGGGAGATGTTCCATGTTGGAGAGTTGCTTGTTCCCAGAAGGAGGTGGCCAAGTGTAGAGGTGGAGGTGTGGCGCTCAGCAGGGACATCTGGGCGAGGGGCAGGAGTTGGCATCCTGGGCTGCTTGGCCCAGGAAGAGTCTAGAAGAAGGCCCCACCTTTGAGAGCCCTGGAAACGGAGGCCCACAGAGAAGGAGGCCTCACCTGGCCTCCCTGCCTCCCACTCGCCCCACTGCCTTCCTGGAGCTTCCCAAGGCCCAAAGGCCAGCTCCTCCAGCCCGAGCTGCCCTGGCAGGGGCTGCAGAAAGAGGTCCTGGGGAGAGCGGGAGCTGGAGGCCGCTCCCTCCCCTGTGACTCACCTGGCGTTTGTGTTTCAGACCATCAGAAGCTGGAGCGTGAAGCCCGCATCTGCCGCTTGCTGAAGCACCCCAATATCGGTAAGCCTGGAGGCCTGGGGTGCCCACGTGGCGGCCCCTGCCTTGCCCATCCTGGGGTTAATGCTCCTGGCTTCGTGGAGGGCAGCTGCTCTTTCTGTGGTGGAGGCAGCGGAGGTGGGAAGGGGGTGTCTTTGATGGCTTCCACCTGCCGCCAAGATCAGCGTGTTCCCGGGGAAGGTGAAGAAAGTCCCTTCCTCCTGCCCCACACTGCGGCAGCCTCCCTCGGAAAAGCTGTTTCAGGAAAGCTCCCGAGGCCCAGACGGAGATGAAAATAGGTCAGGGGTGCACTGGGCCCTGACCTGCGCCCACTCCCCAGATTGGTCCCCTGCTAAGTCCTGGGAGACCTGCTACCACCTGCCTCTGAGAGACTGTGCCCAGGGGGGGCCAGGACAGAGCCAGGGCAGCAGTACTGAGTCCCCTTACTGTGCACCTGAGGGTTGACCCCTGCCAGTCAAGGCTAGGGTTAGGAGGGGAAGAGCTCAGTTGTCCATCTGTCTAGTTCTGTCCGAGATTGGCTGTGTGACCTTGGGCAGGAGCGCTACCCTTTCTGAGCCACTTTCCCTATCTTCGTGAGGAGGGGGCTGTGTGGATGAGGGCTTGACCTTCTCTAATCACCTGGGCACTTTGTGAAAAGTGCTTCTGACTCACCGTCTGGGGTGGGGCCTCAGGCTTTGCAGTCCCCACAGTCGAGAGGAGATGCCAGGCTGCTGAAAGAGAGCACGCCTTGCCAGTGAAGGCCTCCCGCTCCTAGGGATGGCTCCACCCTGACAGTGCCACATGCATCGCATCAGGAGGGGAGCCTCTCTCTGTGTCCGGAGCCCCAGGGGTTAACGCTCCTGCCAGGAGAGGCCCCAGGCTATTGATGTCCAGGAGGCCCCTTCCCTACTACACAGCAGCAGCCAGGGGCCAGGACCAGCGGCAGAGAGGGGGCAGCCAGGTGCTGGCCTCAGCAAGGAACCTGCTTGGACCCTGTCCCCATCTGCTAACTTCCCATTGGGTGGCCCTGGGCAGTGCCCACCATTCAGGGCCTTCTACCCGCCACTGTGATGGAGCGGGTTTGAACTATCTCCATCGCTGGTGTCTCCATCTCTGGTGATAAACCTTGTGGTTCTTACAGAGGCTGTGGGCTTGGGAGAAGGGGGGGGGGGGGGGGGGCTGCTGTATAACTGCAGCTGTCTCAGGTCAATGTTGCCTGCTGTGCGCACCCCTCCGATTCCCAACCAAAAAGCGGGGGCAATGAATTGTGGGCTCTGGCGTAGACCGACTGAAACTCAAATCCGGGGTTTGCTGTGTTACTCTGGACATATTGCTTAGCCACTCTGAAGCTCAGTTTTATCCAGAGGATGGAAATGATACCTGCCTCATAGATGTGATAATTAGATAGAGCATAATGCAATGACAGACCCCAGGCAAGTGCTTTGTGATTGCTAAGCTGCCCTTCCCAGTCCTCACTTTCTCAAAGAAGGATCTTATCAGAAGACACCCTCTGGGGGGTGGGGCTGGGATTGGCTCAGCAGTAGAGCACTTGCCTAGCACGTGAGAGGCCCTGGGTTCGATCCTCAGCACCACATAAAAACAAATAAACAAAATAAAGGTATTATGTCCAACTACAACTAAGAAATAAATATTAAGAAAAAGAAGACACCCTCTTGCCTGAAACTCCATAAGCTTATCATTGCTCAGAGCCATTGAGATTGTAGGTCATCGACAGAGACACCATAAAACATGCTGATTAAGAGGTTCAGACACATCAGGTCTCAATCTCAGCTCTGCTGTTTACTAGGTGTTTGAGATTGGAGGGATGTGAACCTCTCAACCTCAGTATCCTCCTCTGTGAAGTTGAAATAATCATGGTACCCAGCTTCTAGAACTGTTGGGTGGGTTAAAGGAGATAATGCACTTGGCCCCAAGCTACACTCAGAAGTGACAGCTGTCATCTTCATGGCTGTCATCGTCACCGAGACATTTCTTCCTTCCTTCATACACCTGATGTCAAGGGCGCCTGAGGACATACCACAAGTCGGGGCCTCTACTAGGCCCTGAGGATGTGTGGGAGAAATGAGGACAGGGTGGGCATGGCTGGGCATGGCTGGTACCCAGGGCTCTGGAGGGCAGAGCTGAACGTCTAGCCAGGAAAATCGTGGAGGAGTCTTGAGCCATGGCCAGGGCTAGAAGGGCCTGGGAGGGGCCCAGATATCCTCCCAGCAGCTGCTTCCAATCTCCTTGCAATCTCCCCAAAGTGCAAGGAGACAGATGTGGCTGCAGAATCCAAGAGGGCAGCCCGTGCTCAGAGGAACTAGCCTGCATCTCACCCAGCCTGCGTGGCAAATTCAGACAAGGACACTGAGCACAGTCTACATGTGGCCACTGCCCAGCCCCAAGACGACCAGGTGAGGGAGGTGCCTGGCTCAGCACAGGTTGGTCCAGCTGGGGACAGCAGTACCCTGCTCTCTGCACCATCACCACCCATGCTGGGGAAGGCCCCAGAAGGCCACCCAGGGCTCAGGGATCGTGGCCTGTGCTAGGGACAGCCTGGGGGCTTGGTAGGTGATTTGGGCTGGGAACGGGAATTGTGATGGGCCAGATGTCTTCATTTATTGAGCTCTTCCTAGCACTGAGTACTACTGAGTACTCTACAAGACCCCTCACATTAGCACCCGGAGCAGGCCGACTTGATGACACTCATTAGGAATGCAGGCTCAGGAGGCTAAGTCATTTGCCCAAAGACATGGCTTGTAAGAGGTGGACCTATGAGGGGACTTAGTAGGCCTGACTGCGAGTCCACGTTCCTAGTCACTCCACTTAGCTTCCCAAGTGGGCATCTGGGTGTCGTGTCAGGGCACCCAGGGAAAAGAGCAAGTGCTGCCCTTCAACTTCAAGACAAAAATTGCATCCACTGGAACCATCACAGGAATGTCAGAATTTCATAACTCTGGCTGCATTACTGAAAACTAGGTTACAAATTTGTTCTGTGACAATATTTAAAAGTCAAATGACAGTATAACAATGGTCCAGTCACTCCACCAGGAGGCAGGGGTACTACTATAGCCTGCTGTTCTTGAATCCTTTCCTCTCCTTCCTCAGGGCAGCCTCCATGATAGGAGGGGAGGCTGTGTGTGAACACGACACTGAGAGAAGTCCTGTCCCCTGGGCTCTGAGGGGTGATTCTGCTCTCTCTTAGGGACTGAGGCAGACTCCAGTGCTGTTGTATAGGTGGTGCACTGCCCAAGTGGGGGCTGGTGTCCAGGCTCTGTGCCCCTGCCCGGCGACTCAGAGGGACAGCATTTTATAATAGCGCAAAGTCATCACAGAGCAGGAGTCTGCGCCACAGAAAATCCCTGCCACCTTCGGTCTGTTTTCCTGATCCTTGAGGGTGGGTCTGGGACACCTGTCTTTTGGGAGCTCCTTCCAAAGGTGTGGACCAGGTTCCGAAACCCCTTCCTGAGATGGTTCTGGTGGCAGCTTGGCTTCTCAGAGCTTCTCATACTCAGGAAAGGGACATTAAGACCACCTCCTTCTAGGGTCAAGAAGGGTGCACTCCCTGGGACCCATTGGAGGAAGATGGAAGAAGAAAAGGGTCTTTTACATAACGCCCCCCCCCACACACACACACACTCAGAATCCACATTAGTTGCAGATAAACGGGACGGCAAATACTTTTTGAAGTCCTTCCACTAGCTGTCCACCTAGAGCTGAGATCGGATGCCATGTGGGTCTCCCCAGTCACACCTGGGCATGTCGTCTCAGGTCAGGTCTCCTAGAAGCAGGGCCTGAGACAGGGGTGGAGTCTCTGCAAGCAGCTGGTACTCCTTCACAGTCGGGGCTCTGGAGGGGAGGTAGGATTGCTGGGTTCCATCAATCAAATGCACAGCTAAACACACACATGAATTGTAAAAGTTTAGCCTGCATTTACTTTTAAATGCACTAAAATTAAAACAGATTAATAGAGGAACAGTTAGAAGGGTAGTAAAATTAGTATAGGAAAACAGGAACCGGAGTGTGTATAGGGGTTTTCACATGACTGTATGTATGGATTTTTAAAATAATAAAATGTTGTAAATTAAAGCAGGATTATCCTGTGTACATCTTGAGATTATTATTTTTTGGTTTAAATATATTCAAAACATTTTGGTTCTTATGTATTAGTAGTTATCCTTATTTAAGAATGTCTTAAAATTTTAGCCTGGTGTGGTGGCTCATGCCTGTAATCCCAGTGACACGAGAGGCTGAGGCAGGAGGATTGCAAGTTCAAGGTCAATTTCAGCGATTTAGCAAGACTCAGTCTTAAAAAATAAAAAAAAGACTGGAGACATAACTCAGTGGTAGAGGGCCCTTGGGTTTTAGCCCCATTACTACAAAAAAAAAAAAAGTATTGAATTTTAAAAAAGTATTTTAATTTTGTTATTTATTTTTATGTGGTGCTGAGGATCAAACCAGTGCCTCACATATGCAAGGCAAGCGCTCTGCCATTGAGCCACAACCCCAGCCCAAAGTCTTAAAATTTTAATTTGAATTGGTGTCCTGGTCGTTCTCCATCTCTGGTGCCCCGTTCCCATCCCCTGCAGACACCCACCTGGGACTCTATCCAGCCTGTCTCCTAGTTCACTTTCTAAACTTGATGTGCAAATATGAAAGCCACAGCAATTCAGGGGACTCAGTATTGAGTCAGAGATACAGGCACACTGCACAAATCAGTGGCACTAGGATTCACAGTGAAAAGCGAGTCTCCCCCATGATCTGCTCCCCAACTCCCTTCCCCAAAGGCAGCCCCACGCCCACTTCTCTGTATTCTTCCAGAGAAACTTATGTCGTATAGAAGCTTAAACACTTCCTTCAATTTGTTTATTTATTCTTTTTAGTTATACATGACAGTAGAATGTATTTTGACATATTATATACCTGGGTATAAATTCCCATTCTTGTGTACATGATGTGGAGTTACACTGGTTGTGCATTCATATATAAACATAGGAAAGTTCTGTCCTATTCATTCTACTGTCTTTCTCATTCCCATCCCCCCTCACTTCCAACTCATCTCCCCCTGTCCAATCTGGTGAGCCTCTCCCCAATAATGTGAGTCAGCATCTGCATATCAGAGAGAACAATTGGCCTTTGTTTTTTTGAGATTGGCTTATTTCACTTAACACCATACTCTCCAGTTTTATCCATTTACCGGCAAATGCCATGATATCATTTTTCTTTAAAGCTGAGTAATATTCCAGTAATATATCACATATTCTTTATCCATTCATCTGTTGAAGGGCATCTAGGTTGGTTCCATAGTTTGGCTATTGTGAATTGAGCTGCTATAAACATTGATATGGCCGTGTCACTGTAGTATGCTGATTTTAAGTTCTTTGGGTATAAACCCAGGAGTGGAATAACTGGGTCAAATGATGGTTCCATTCCAAGTTTTCTGATGAATCGCCATACTGCTTTCCATAGTGGTTGCACTAATTTGCAGGCCCACCAGCAATGTATGAGTGTGCCCTTTTCCCCACATCCCCACCAACATTTTTTTGTTACTGCCATTCTGACTGGAGTGAGGTGAAATCTCAGTCTAGTATTTAAAAAAACATTTTTAAATTTGTTCTAGTTAATTACACATGACAGTAGAATGCACTTTGATACACCATATATAATGGAGTATAATTTCTTATTCTTCTGGTTGTACATGATGTAGAATCACACCAGAAGTATATTTATATATGTACATAGACTAATAATGTCTGATCCATTCTACTATCATTCCTACCCCATACCCCTCCCCTCCCTTCACTCCCCTACCTAATCTATAGTAACTCTATTCTTCCATAACTCCCCCGCCCCCATTGTGAATTAGCATCCACATATCAGAGAAAACATTCAGCTTTTAGTTTTGGGGATAGGTTTATTTTGCTTAGCATGATATTCTCCAGTTCTATCCATTTACCAGCAAATGCCATAATTTTATTGTTCTTTAAGGCTGAGTAACATTCCATTTTATAACATACCTACACACACACACACACACACACACATCCCATTGTTTTCAGTGTAGTTTTAATTTGCATTGCTCTAATTACTAGAGATGTTGAACATATGACCATGTGTATCTCATCTTCTGTGGAGTGCCTGTTCAGTTCCTTGGTCCACTTATTGATTGGGTTATGTGTTTTTTGCACACTTTCTTTTTAAAAAAGAACTATACATACTGCTTTGCACTTTGCTTTTCCATCAAACAATACAATCTGGAGATGATTCCAAGCCAGGGGATCTAGAACTGCCACGTTAACAGCCATGTGACTTTCCATTGTGTGGATGAAGCATGATTTTCAGAGCCAGCGTCCCCGCCCCTATGCCATGTTCATGTTTAGGTTGTGGTACAGGAAAGGTTGAGAGCCCCGTCCCGTGAGAAGTTGGTTTTGGCCCAACCAGAGGCATCCCTAGGCCTCTACCCTTCCTTTCAGAAGCACAAGAATAATCTGGGAGCTCTGGATTCCTGGGAATTTGGCCTGAAGAGGTGACAGCTCCTCGGCAGGCAGCTCAGGCTCATGTCCCTCCTGCCATAAGATGGGCTGCAGGGGACGTGGGGGGTGGGGAGCAGTGTGTCCAGGTGTAACCAACTGCCTTGACCTCTCCCACAGTCCGGCTCCACGACAGCATCTCTGAGGAGGGACACCATTACCTGATCTTTGACCTGTGAGTCTGGCCCCACCTGGGATGTGGCATGGGTATGGGGGTGCTCCGTCAGGGTCCCCAGCGCTCCCTGGCTGGGTAGAATTCCCTCTTCTGGTCTACATGTGGTAGGTCTGCTCTTTCCCCAGATGTGGTAGGTCTGCTCTTCCAAGCTCTCCTAGTTAAACCGTCAAACACTTTTAACTGTGATCATATACTTATTTATTTGGGTACCGGGGACTGAACTCAGGGGCACTCAGCCACTGAGCCATGCCCCCAGCCCCATTTTATATTTTATATAGAGATAGGGTCTCACTTAGCGCCTTGCTTTTGCTGAGGCTAGCTTTGACCTCACAATCGTCCTGCCTTAGCCTCCCCAGTCACTGGGGTTACAGGCTGCGCCACCACTCCGGGCCATATATTTATTTTTGTTTCTCTTCTATTCGTGGCTAGTGATGCTGGTTCACCATTCATAGGGGTGATATCAAGTTTCCTTTCGGATGGGTTTGATTTGTCAAAGCAGGCAGGCGATGGCAGTCTTCCGTGGTGGGTGGAGGGTGGCCTGGGAATCAGCAGTGACTCTGGTCTCATCTGTTGGCGGGGATCATGTCCGTTGGGGGCAAGGACATGGAAAGAACACAACCAAACAGTGGTTGGGCTCCTCCAGCGGTGACCCTGCAGTGTTCTGGGTGCCCTCCGCCACCAGCCAGGACCCTGCCCGGGGCGGGGTCTGAGGGGCGGGGGAGGGGCCAGGGGAAGGGAGGATGTGCCCGTGGTGGCGCCCAGGGGCCTCAGGTCCCTCTCTTTTGGGCTGAGGTTCTGAGGTCCCTGGGCCCCGTCCCTAGCTTCTGGGGGACTCCTCTAGGCAGGGTGGCGCCTGGGGCTTCTGTGGGAGGGTGACTGCGTGCCTGTCCCCCAGGGTCACTGGCGGGGAGCTGTTTGAAGACATCGTGGCCCGGGAGTATTACAGTGAGGCTGATGCCAGGTAAGCGCAGGGCAGTCCTGCCCGCTGCCCGCTTGGCGAGGAGGCCTGTCCCTGGGCTGACCCTTCTCTCTCTCTCCCCAGTCACTGTATCCAGCAGATCCTGGAGGCCGTGCTGCACTGCCACCAGATGGGGGTGGTGCACCGGGACCTGAAGGTGAGCGCCCGCGATGGGTGTGGCCAACCGGAGTCCGCCCAGCCCAGGGCCCCTCTGCCCTTCCCCGCTCCCACGGAGCGGGGTGCAACTGGAACCCCTTTTATTTTCCTGTTGGGCGGGAGGGAATATCCCCCCCCACTGTCTGCGGAGGAAGCTGAGCTCAGGAAGGCAGAGCGGCTGGGTTTGGGCCCCAGGTCTCCCGACTCCCAGCCCCAGTGCAGTTAGACCACCGGGGCCGTCAGGGGTGCAGGGCGAGGCAGAGTCCTGGAAAGGTCCAGATCCCAACCGGGCTACAGTTGCTGGAGCTGCTTGGTCCTGACTGTCTCCCCTCTGCCTGCTTACTCCTCCTTGGCGGGATGTTGGCTGAGAGAGCTCCCTGACCCAGACTCTTGTTAGGGTCTCAGGCAAACGGGAAGGAGAAAAATAGGACTTGGGGACCTCGGAGTACCTCTCTTTCCACCTAAAGAGATGGGCAGGACGACACAGCCTATGACTGTCCTGGCCATTCAGCCTTGCCCTCTTTTCTTGGACATGGTAGACCTCCTCTGCTGGGCTTCATGGCATCAGGGGCTGGGAGCATCCTGGTTTTGCAAAATAGGACGTTAAGGTTGAAAGAGTCCAAGGGCATGGATTTCAGTTGTGCCTGAGTAAGGAGCACGGAGCCCAGGCCTTCCAACCGCAGGCCCTATAACCTCAGAGTCCAGTACCCGAAGGCCACTTCAGACAGCCCGTACTTTTCTGCAGCAGCCAGCCCCTTCTAGGGTGACCCTTTTGTGTATCCATGGAGCCTCTGCTTATTTGGCCTTCAGTGACAATGAACTTACTTCCCATGGGGTTGCCCCTAGCTGTCCCTTGCTCTTTCCTGTTGTGGGACTCTGTCCTGAACCCCAGTTTGGAACCACACAGATATCAAGCCTTCCACTCTAGAGAGACCAGATCAGCTTTCTGGTAACCCTGAAGTATTGGCGGGGTGGACTCCGCTTTCCTACCCATATGTGAGTTCCAGGCCCTCCTTACCCTGGGTACCTCCTGGGTGCTCCATTTGTTCCAGGCCCCTCTTGGGGACACTGCTCTGATAAGCACCCCTGCCCACCTCTAACTGTCTTTGGCAATCCAAGGCTTCTGACCTGTGCCCCGGGCAAGGTCATTGAGGTTTGATCCAAGAGGGTCTCTGGCCAGAGGCAGGGCAGCTCTCCCCGAAGGCCTGTTCCCATTCTAGCTCCGGCCCCTGCCCGGGTGGAGGAAGGAAGGAGGAGAGGCTGCCCAAATTTAGGCCACTCTGGATGCACTAATTAGAGGCACATTCATCAAATCAGGGCAGGACGGCCACTGAGACCCAGGGCACATCGAAAGTACAGTCCCTAGAGGACAAAGGCAGTCTTCAGGAGCCAGACAGGGGGAGCTGTATTTGTGTGGGTCCAAGCTGGCTTTGACAGGGAAAGGTTGGAGGTGGGACCCCTCGAAGCCCTGCTGCAGAAAGGGTCAGAGGAAGAGTGGGAGCCAATTTTCTCCAGGAGTCTCTTGGCTCCTCCCCAAGCTCAAGCCTGACAGTTCGCCTCAGCAAGGTGCTTTCCGTGAACTGTCTGGGTTAATCCAGACACCACCCCATCAGGGAAGCCTTGTCTCTGTTTCCCTGAAGAAAAAAAACTAAACTCAGAGAAATGAAATTATCTGGTGAAGTTCCACAGCATAGAAGTGGCAATCCTGGGACCTGAAGCCAGGATGACCCAAGAATGGAGGGAATCTTAGTCTCTCTTTGTCCTGAATCCCAAGGTGGAGGGGGACCAGCAGGAAGTGGAGAAATTCTGAGGGTCTGAGCCAGTGGAAGGCGGCAGCCTCAGTGACCCAGAGGACAGATGTGGGGCCTCCCCCCAGGTCAGCTGTGGTCCTGGGGCCAAGCTCCATCATCTCTCAACCTATAGTGATTAAGATGGAGTCAATCTTTGTCTTGAATCTGACTCCACCCCTTCCAGCTGTGTGATCTTGCTTAACCTCTCTGAGCCTCGGTTTCCTTAACTTTATACATATGATAAATATGTAGGTAACAAGAGACAACACAGATGACACCTGATGACTCCTTCTTTCCATGGAGTAATCATGGGTGGGGGAGTTTCTTTGAAGGAGTATCGTGAAGGTGAGCTGGAAGGCAGAGCAAATCAGGCAGGGGAAACAGGAAGTGCAAAGGCCCTGAGGTGGAAGGTGGCAGAACTGTTTCAAAGGATGTAAGGTCACTGTGGAAAGCAGAAATAATGGCATCTGACCCAAGGGGTTGTTGGGATGGTGGGTGAGAGGATGCACTTGGAACATAGTGGCTGGTACACAGCAGGACCCATAAACCCTGCTGCCTCTTTCTTGTTGTGGTGGTGGCCTTAGTACCCCCACCCTGTGCCCAACCTCCTCTCAACCCAGCTCCAGACTTGGGGTGGCTGGTGGAGGAAGGGTTTTTCTGTAGAAGATGGAGAAATTGCCAGGGAATAGCTCCCTCTCTGGTCCTGGGGCCGGGCCCCTGGGCTGTGTGGCAGCTCTTCCTATGAGCCCGGTCCCCAAGGTACGCTTCTGAACCTGCTGTCTCTCGCCCTCTCCTCCCCCTTTTCTTCCTGGTCCTGGGAAGCCGGAGAACCTGTTGCTGGCCTCCAAGCTCAAGGGCGCTGCCGTGAAGCTGGCTGACTTTGGCCTGGCCATAGAGGTGGAGGGGGAGCAGCAGGCATGGTTTGGTGAGTGGGGCGGGAGTGGCAGGGGTGGTGGGGGCCAGCCAGGGTCCATGCTGCACAGTCCACCCCACCCAGCCTCTAGCCAGTCAGTGGGTGGTGCCCACCCTGTCTCCCTGGGGCCAGGTGCAGGAACAGGGCCATCACGAAAACCATAACATGGCTTCTTCAGGTGAGCCATATGGTCACTGTCAGCAGGGGCTTCTGTGGGCAACCTCAGCCTGGATGCTGCAGATGAGGAGACTGACTAGGAAACTCGGAAAAGGTCAAGAGCTTAAGAGGGCTGGAGTTAGGACTTAAGCTCAGATGGCCCAGCATTCTCTGGGATTTCGGTATAATTCAAAATCTGGTTATACTTTTTAGTGGACAATAATGATCAGTGGTCAAGGACCAGAGCTCTGGGTTCAAGTCCCGACCCTGCAACTTATGAAGTGTGTGGCTTCAGCAGAGTCATTTCACCTCTCTGAGACTTTGTTTTCTCAACTGTAAAATGGGGATAATCATAGTATGTTCCTCAAGGTCTGTGTGAGGATTAACTAAGACTAGGCTTGTAAAGTGCCCTGCCCAAGTTCAGCACGCACACCCAGTAACTGGTAACTGTTCTATGATTACTTGCTAAAATATTTTGTGTGTCTTTTATTTGACTTGATCTTCCCCCAAACACTGGGTATTTAAAACAGGAATCCCTAATCCCTAATCCCTGAGGCTCTAAAGTAAAGAAACTAGTATGGCAATATGTAAATCAATGGATGTGTAACTGATGTGATTCTGCAATCTGTGTATGGGGTGAAGGTGGGAGTTCATAACCCACTTGAATCAAAGTGTGGAATATGATATGTCAAGAAATTTGTAATGTTTTGAACAACCAACAATAAAAAATTAAAATAATAATAATAATAATAATAAAGTAAAGAAACTAGATGAGGAGATTAGGAGCAAAGCTGGAGTTAGGGACAGGCCTCTTGCCTCTCATGACCATCTCTGACAAGGCAGTGGGGAGTGGGGGATAGGGATGTTAGCTCTCGGTGCAGAACTGGTATGGCAAGAGCTGAAGGCTACCAATAGTTGGTTGGTAGAGGGGGTGGGAGGGCTGTTCTGGGAAATTTATCAGACAAGATTGGGCACATTCAGGGTTGTATGGCCGTAGACAGTTCTGGGAAATTTATGACCCTGATCAGGACCCTGCAGGAAGGAGCTCTGTGATTGATTACAGACTTTGCCATGGGGAGTGGTGGCCGGTGTGCTAGGTGCCTGTCTACCCTGGCCTAGGGACTTTGCTGGCTTACAGAGCCCACCAGGGTTGCACGGTGTAACCCCAAGCTCTGGGGGCCAGAGGCTGTTTGTTCCAACTCTAGATGACCCTCATCCCCTCTCCCAGCAGGATCTGGCTCCAGATCACTCACATGCCAATCTCTGTGTGTCTGTCTGCCTGTCTGTGTGTCTGGGGAGCAGGGTTTGCAGGGACACCTGGATACCTCTCCCCAGAAGTGCTGCGGAAGGACCCATACGGGAAGCCTGTGGACCTATGGGCCTGCGGTGAGTCCATCCAAAGGCCTGCTCCTCCCCTGGGCCACCCAGGCCCTGGGTCCCCTCACTCCTTTCCATCACCCTGCCTTCATCTCTCCTCCCCGCAGGGCAGGGGGCTGAAGGTTCTCCTGGTCTTCTCCCCAGGGGTCATCCTGTACATCCTGCTGGTTGGATACCCCCCATTCTGGGATGAGGACCAGCACCGCCTGTACCAGCAGATCAAAGCCGGTGCCTATGATGTGAGTGTTGCTCCTCTCTCCAGCCACCCTGCCCCTGTCATCCTGTGGTCCCCTTCTAGTGAAGTGCAGAGATCTGAGGAAGGACATCTTCCTCCCACCTTTCCAGTCCCCCTAGGTTCCCGCCACTTTCTAGAGCTGGGGCAAGGGATGAAGCCCAGGGGAGCCTGTTGATGGGCAGGGCCAGGCAGCTCAGGAGGTGCCTTATGATTAGGAGCTCGAAGTGACGAGATCTGTCCTGCAGGGCCCTAGAGGGCAGAAGGGAGGGGGCAGCCCTGAGCTGTATTTTTTTTCATTTTTTCTCTCTCTTTTTCTTACATGTACAAATAATCATAGTAGCTCACATGTCCGTAGCACTCATCTGATTGTTTTATGCACTTGGAGACATGAGATCTTCACACCAGGCTACGACATAGACACGAATACCATCCTCACTTTACAGATAGGGAAGCCTCTGGCCCTCGCATCCATCCATGCTTCCAGCTACTGAATCATACTGCTTTTCTCTAAGGCTGGTGTCCATCAAGCCCTGTGCCATGAGTCCTGTGATGGTCACACCTCGGCATCCCCAGAGATGGCTCATGACAGGCCCAGGTCTGGGGGAGACAGAGGCAGGACCTGGACCCAGGTCTTCTGATTCCTCTGTCTGGACCATGAGCACTGTCTGCCCTTCTCTAGAGAGGGCACAGCCTCAGGATGACAGAGGGAGGTCTCCTTTCCCTGTGACCATGCTTTCATCTGTCCTGGTTCCCAAGGGTCCGACCCTCCCCTGGTCCCGAGGAGTCCTGACTCCTGGCCGTGGGGGCTGAGTGGATGGCATTAGCACCCCTGCCTGCTCCCCTGCCAGTCAGGGGCTGGGGGATCGCAGGGGTGGCCTGGGGCAGGCTGGGCAAACCTGGCCTCTCTGCCCCTTCCAGTTCCCATCACCAGAATGGGACACCGTCACCCCAGAAGCCAAGGATCTGATCAATAAGATGCTGACCATCAACCCATCCAAACGCATCACAGCTGCCGAGGCCCTCAAGCACCCCTGGATCTCGGTGAGCTTCCCACAGCAGGGACCCTCCCCAGAGTCCCTCTAGACTGCAAGGTCCAGGCCCCTGTGGTATCCTGGCCCTGCTCCTGGCTGGGGCTGATGGGGCTTAATCAGAGAGACTGACCCTACTGTGATGCTCGGGGACAATATGGAATTGAGGGATGTCCTGTGTTGGCGCATGACCAGGAGTGTCACTGGCGTTGACCGTCTGATGCCAACATCCTAAGCACTCTGCACCATCCCTAGAACAAAGAATTATTTTCCCAAGAAGCCACCACACCTTGTTAAGATGCCCTGCTGCGGACCTAGGCTGTCTTCCAGCACATCTCACTACAGATCTGACCTCTCTTTCTCTTCCTCCAGCACCGGTCCACTGTGGCCTCCTGCATGCACAGACAGGAGACCGTGGACTGCCTGAAGAAGTTCAATGCCAGGAGGAAACTGAAGGTAACAGGTCCTTACCTTCCATACCCCCCAGGCTCACTAGTTCTTTCCTTCATTGATTCCACAAGCATTTATGGAACACCTACTGCATGCTAGACAGCAGGCTGGGATTTGGGGAGTGAGCAGTGAATTAGACCCCATCCTCACCCTGATTGAGCTCGTGGTCTGGTGGAGAGGACAGACAAGTGACCAGGACATTGCGGGGCCATGGTGAGTGCTGTGCCGGGGCTGTGGGAGGACATAGTGGGTCAATGGCATTCCCAAGTCTGGAAGGTTCTGGAAAGGGTCCCAGGAGGCCTTCCTGGAGTCAGCTGAGACCCTAAGGATAAGCAAGGATTGGATTAGCACAGTGTCGAGTCAGAAAGGGAAGGTGCTCCGGACACCGAAAGGCCCTTGCTGGCAGGGGGGGGGGGCACGACCTCCTGGAGGACCAGAGGGGGTTGTGAGTGTCTGGAGAGAACTTTGGGACAAGAGATGACTGGGCAGGAGACCACTGTGGGGTGAGAGGCCACAGCACTGAGGGAGGATGACTGTGGCCAGCATGATCCAGGAGAACCGGGTCCTATTCACTGCACAGTGAGCTGTGTCATAGAGGAAGTCTCAAAATGGAAATGGGGATGCTTAACGTCAGAGATTTTCAGATCCAGAAAGCGTCTGAGTCAGGTTTGAATCAGACAGCAGGAGGAGCAGGGGGTGATCCCCCAGCCCTTTGCCGATAGCGAGGGCTTCTCCACAAGGAGAGCCTCGGCCACACAGCAATGAACTAGTCCTGGAGCAAGATAGTCTCAGCCCAGAGGAGGGATGCAAGGTCTCCTGTCATTGCCCAGGCAGGAAACTTTAGGAGTGGCCTTTAGGAGTCCCCGCCAGTAGGTGTCCTCAAGTCCATCAGCTTTGGCCAGGCCATGGGTCCTATTAATATCTGCGCCTGGGATGGCCCTGTCCCAAGAGCTGTGCCAGCCAAAGCCGACTTCTCCAGGGAGGGTGGGGGAAGGGCTCTGGGCTGCAGGGTGGGGGTGGGGGACAGAAGGGGGCACAGGGGCAGAGGCTTTGGATCTGTCCCTGAAGAGACCATCTGCTTGTCCTTCCCCACACCCCTCCCATTTCTCTGTCTCCCCTCCTCCCCTTACCTCTGGCCTCCTTCCCCTGTCCCCACTCTTATCTGTTGCAGGGAGCCATTCTGACCACAATGCTGGCCACCAGGAACTTCTCTGGTAGGTGGTAGGGCCTGAGTCACCAGTATGTCCTGCACTGGTCTGCTGCGAGCATGGTCTTGTTGGATATTTGGGTGTCTTCAGAGTGGGGGCTGCAGAATGTTTCTGGACTGGGATTTAGCTCACTGCCACAAACCTGAACCCCAAAAGGAAAGGAGAAAGGTCAAAGGTGAGCAACTCCAGGCCTGGTTAGATGTGAATCTCGCTCTCCTGCCTCACAGTGCACTGGGATCCTTAGAGGGGAACCTCCTGGAATGTAGAGGGTTCCGGCCTAGGAGGGATGGAGCCAGGACCAGGGTGCAACAGTACTGCCCAGCTATTGCAGGAGCCCTGTGCTCTCCAGTCCCCACACTTCTGCTCAGATAGCCTTCATGACAGGGAAGTGGGGGGCTGTTGCCATCCTCCTTTTTCTGATGAGGAAGCAGAGTTTAAGGGGTGAGCTCTGACATCAGGTCAAAAGTTAGAGAGAAGCAGAGCCTGCCTCATAGATATGAGCAGCCCAGAGCAAGTACCCTTGACCAGGCTGGGTCACCAGGGAGACCAGGGCCAGTTTCCCTGGCTCCTGTCCAAAGCCGGGCTGGTTAAGGCAGGGAGTGCCCGATTACCTGGGCATGTGGCCCCAAAGAGAGAAGGGGAAGGGATTATTGTCAGGGCTTAGCAAATAGCTCCTCTTGGTATGTGGACCAACTCCAGGCCAGTGCTGCCAGAGGTCTGTCTCTGGGGAGCCCTGGGCGCTGACGGGGCAGCAGAGCAGATATAGATGGCAGATATGGCAAAGCTCACCTGAGGGGCCCTCAGACTGGGCTGGGGCCAGCACAGACAGCTGCCATGGATGCGTGCCCACACTGTAACCAGGGGTGAGTTCTGAGCAGGGTGCAGGCCTGGCTTCCCTCAGAGGGTCCACCTGCCCATGACCAGCTGGGATGAGCAAGGCCCACAGCTGGGAGCATTCCAGAACCTCATACTTGGGCTTTCCCCCACACTGAGCTGCCTTCCTACCCTTTCCCCAGACAAGGAACCTGTAGTTCCTTATATTGAAAGATGAGCTACCTAGTCAGAGTCTTTTTTTAACACCTGAAGCACCCTGGAGAACTCTCTTCCAGAGCCCAGAAAATGGTGGCCTGTAGATTAGTTCCAGTATCTAGATGTGCTTCATGGAATCAAGGATGTTTAAGAAATTATTCTGGAATGGGTTTCTAGCTCTTAAAAGTCAGGAGATTGGTCAGACATAGTGGCATGTACCTGTAGTCCCAGTTACTCAGGAGGCTGAAGCAGGAGGATCTCTTCAGCCCCGGAGTTCTGGGTTGTAGTGTGGTCTGTATATTGGGTGTCCTTACTAAGTTTGGCATCCATATGGTGACTAGGAGTAGGGGACCACCAGGTTGACTGAGGAGGGGTGAATCAGTCAGGTTGGAAATGGAGCAGGTCAAAAGTAAGTAGATTTCATAGAAAAACTCAAATTTCTGTGATCTCTTGAAAGTCAGTCTGGCCTTGTCTGTCACAGTGGGCTGGAGCTGAGAGGGGTCATCCTCCTTGATGCATGTGGGACAAGCACCCTCCCATGCTTGTTGGACCCTCCTGGTCCAACTCACAAAAGTCTACGGATGACAGGCAACCAACCATTCCTTTCAGACACCCAGAGGTGCCCCGTTATCCCTTGATCTGCAAGTGGGTGACTGGTTGACAGCTTGCAGGGACCGTAAGTGGCAATGTGGGGGGACTAGAAGGCTGGGCCAGCCATGAGCCTTGTGCCTTAGAGCCCCTGGGGCATGGAGGCCCTATACCACCACCACCCCTGCCTAGCTCACATTCCTGAGACTGCCTGAAGAAGGGTTTATCGCGGCTGCTGTTTATGGAACACCAGCTACACGCAGGCTGAGTGCAGTACTTCACAGATCACGGTCTCATTTAGGGCACTTGCTTAAGGTCCGAAGCAGCCGGATGCCAGGTGGGGCAGGGCTGGGTGTTTATGCCATTTCCTGGCTGATGCCCACTCCCAGGGCTCCAGTGAGGAAGTGAAAGAGGGGGAGGGGAAAGGCCCAGCACCGTTCCTCTGCTACCACCTGACACCGGTGGCCAGCCTCTGTGTGGGGACCCAGACTCTGACGCTGGGGAGGCCTATACTGCCTGAAGGGAAAACCAGGGAAGGGCTGCTCTGGCAGGGGTGGGCCCCGGTGGGGGGCATCTGCTTCTTGTCACTGGCAAAATGCAGCCTGCAGCTGTCCTGAGTGAGTAGGCAGGCTGACACATGACCTCTGCAGCCGCATGGGGCTAAAATTAGAGAGGGCGGCGGGGAGGGAGGGGAGCGTCCAGCCCCCAGGCCAGGCAGCAGGCCTCCTGGTTGGCCACCAACAGCACAGTGGTGACCGGGATCCAGAGGGAATCCCCAGGCTGAAACAGCCACCCCACAGTCCCGGAGCACGTTGGACGCCTCCCTGGACCCATGAAGCCAGAGGGTTACACTTGAGATCACTGAGAACAGAGGAGCCCAGGCCCACCCAGTGGGCCCCTGGCAGCGCCTGGGCTGCTGAAGAGGGAGGAGGAGAAGGAGGAGGAGAAGGAGGAGGAGGAGGAGGAGGAGGAGGAGGAGGAGGAGGAAGAGGAGGAGGAGGAGGAAGAGGAGGAGGAGGAGGAAGTCTCTTCCCGGTTGCTGGGCCGGCTCCGTTCCAGCACTGTCGCCCCCCTGGCTGCTCTCCGGCTGCTTGTGGATGCTGCTCTTCCTCACCCTCTGGGCCCTGGTGCCCTGCTTGGTGTTGCTAACCCTCTACTTTTTCTCCTCCACAGGAGGGAAGAGTGGAGGGAACAAGAAGAACGATGGTGTGAAGGTGAGCCCCCGGGGGCCTGGCAGGGCCTGTCTCTGGCCGTTTCTGCCTACAGGGATGGGTTTTGAGGCCTGGGGCAAGACCAGGGCGTTGCCAATGTGCTCTGGGCAGACACAGGTTATGTCTGTAGCCAGGCTGTCCCCAGACCCAGCGAGCTGGGCTGCGGCATCATCCTCTCTCCGTGCTTGTGGGGAGGGCAGCTGGGGGAGGGGGAGATGGCGGAGGGAGGGAGAGATAGGTAGCCTGAGGTTGGAATGAGCACAGGAAAGAGAAAGATCAGGTTTCTGGGGGTTCTCCAGGGCTGAAGAACTGTGAGCAAGGGGGTGGAGGGAGGGACAGAAACGGTATGAGGGATGACCTCCTCCTCCTGCCCCAGTGTGGGTAGACTGGGTTGGCCCCTACCTGTTGCACATGCTAGTCCAACCCAGAAAACCCGTGGGGAACGCAGCCATTCCTCTAGCTTGTGGGATCTAGAGGTGCCCCTTCCCTGCCAAGGCCTGCTGCTCCAGTGCCAAGAATCCCCTCCTTTGCCCACCAGGCCTGTCCCCTGTCCCCACCCCGATGCCCGAGCTATTTCCCTCCACACCCTGCTGGCCCCTCCTTCCCATCTCTTCTCTCTTTTCCCTTTGCTTTCTGGGGCCTGTCCCCTTGCTCTCTCAGCTCTCTCCTCCCCTGCCACCCTATCACCTTGTGGGTTCTCCTTTCTTGAGATCTTGCTTCCTTCTGAGCTCAGTGCCCCACCTGGCTAGGGGCCCAGGACACTAGAAGGTGAGATGCTCTAAGAACACTGTCACCCAGGTGTGCTGGTGGCTTCATGGCTTCATTTCAGTCTCTGGCCACCCACTGGCTTTGGTCTGCCAGAGATTGCATGGGGGGTGGGTCTGGCTAGATGTCCAAGGCCAGGATCGAGTCTCCTCTCTGCCCCTTGCCTCCTCCCACTTGAGTTACCCCTAGGGACGATGGCTGGGGTATAGATTTGGTGGTCATTTCCAAGATTTCAGTTCCAAAAACAGACAAGAAGGAAACATCTTGCCAGTGACAAGAAGCAGATGCCCCCCACCTTCTCTTCCTGGGTGCTTGAGAGAGACAGTCCTGTGCCACATAATGACATTTCAGTCAATGGCACACGGCATATACAATGTTCCCAGATGATTACAATGGAGCTGAGGAATTCCTATGCTTAGTATTTTCACTGTCCCTTTCTATGTTTGGATACATAAACATCACTGTGCTCTAACTGCCTACAGCCCTGAGTGCAGTACCACGCTGCACAGGTTTGCAGCCCATGAGCCCTAGGCCCTGTGGTGTAACCTAGGTGCATAGTAGCTATGCCATCTAAACCACTGATGTTCACATAATGACAAAATCACCTCAGGATGCATTTCTCAGAATGTGTCCCTGTGATGCTTGACTGTACCTAGCTAGTTGGTTATTAGTCAAAGTCAGTGGTTTTCACATTGAACTCTTTGGAGCCCACAGGTTCTGGGGAGACCCTTCTGGCAGCAGATGGACTGGCTAGCATTAGGAAGGGGGAAGCCGCATTCACAAGATCCCCACACTCCCTTCCACCAGGACAGCTTCTAGTCACAGTCGCCAGGGTGCTTAAGAGATCAGGGTGGGTTCACCAGCAGCTAGACCTTGGCTGCTTATTTAAACTTCCTGAGCCTGAGTTTCCTCTTTCATGTGATGAGGCTGAAAGGATTCCCACCTCCTAGGGAACTCACGAGGATTAGCTGGGATAATGTGCGTTGAGAGCTTAGCACTGTGCTAGTGTGGGATACGGCACGTGCCCACGAGATGCCGGTCAGGATTCTTTTTTCTATTTTTTATGTTAGACTTTTGTGTGAAATTTCCCTTGAAAGCAAAGTTTGTTCAAGAAAATATTTGGAAACCACAGATTAAAAGCCAACGCAGCGTATCAAGTTAATGCGCACCTGTCCAAACCCCTGTGTGGCCTCTGGTGTTAGGTCTGGGCTAGCCTGCCTTTGGAGCTTTTGTGCAGCATGGATCTGCCACAGGCTGGGAGCAGCTGGAGGGGTCTCTCTTCCCAGTGGGTAGATGCTGAGCTGGGGGGTATTGGGCCCTGGGGAAGGCCATCTTCCTGGCCGCAGTTTTCGGTATACGGCTGCAGAGGCCACAAATGCTAGTGTGCTGTGGCCCAGGCCAATGGAAGAGGAGGCTGCAGAAAGAGAAAGGCCGCTGGGTCTGCTGCTCTTGAATGTGACCCTGACAGAGGCTGATGAGGAGCCCTGGGTATAGGGTCAGAAGGGGCCTCCCTTGGGCTGGTTGGAGGCCCAAGAAAGAAGCTCTAAGTTCTGCTTCTCTCTAGCAAGGCCAGGAGGCCAAGGCTGGCAGAGGGCAGTGGGCAGGAGAGGTTTGCTGGTCGTCACAGAGCTTTCCAGTGGGCTCAGCTGAACAGCGCCACTGCTTCCTCCTCAGGGTGGCCTGGGTGTGGGTGAAACCCAAAGGCCATCCATGGACAAACCATCTCTTTATGTAGTTCCATCTGGGAGCTTGGATGGAGGAGGGAGGAAGTCCTTCTGGGAGATGCGAGTAACTCAGGAGGCCTGCCAAGTCGCTCCCAGAGAAGGGAGGGTAGTGGGGTTGGGGGAAAGAGTCTAGCCATGTTTTCTTCAAGCCAAGAAGCCACGGTGAGTCTGGGTCTCACTGCTCCCTCCCTCTGAGGATCATGGTCCTGGGTCTGTCATCTGTACAAGGGGAGCATTGTGGTTGTTTGCAAGGGTTGGTGAGAAAGTCACCCCGGAGGGGCCTGGTGGAGACACACCATGACCCTCACGTGTCCAGCCAAAGGGGGACATCCATGCTCTTCCTGAAGCCCGGTCCTTAGAGACCTGCTGCCATTTCATCTGGGGCTTCACAGGAAAAACAGTGATTGGTTCCAGCGCTGGAGGGAGGCCACCTCCGCTGGGGCTCAGAGATGACTGCACTTTGCGGGTCTTTCAGGGCTTTTCAAGGCTGATGTCAATCACATTTGGTTTCCAACCCCTTGCTGAGCTTAGAACCTCCCTTTACATGTGGTTCTAAGACAGGTGACTCTGCGTTCAGTGAAAGCCCTTTCCAATCACACTCTAAAGCGCCGGTCGATATGGGTTGTTGGTGGCATCGTTATTTGGTGATTTAGGGAAATTGAGTCCTTCTCCAAGAAGCAGTGCCTGCCCTGACACCCATCGGCCTCAGCTTCTACCAGAAGGGGCCCACTGCTCCTACCCCTCACCCCACTCACTGCCCCTGTTGGTGTCCCATCCGTGCCGTCGTGACCTCTCTCCCCATGTCCCATCCTGTCACTGTGCGTCCGAATCTGATGCAGTCTTTGCTCTGTGTTACCTACTCGTGTCCCGCCTGAAACCTCCTGGCCCCTGCAAGGCTCCTCAGGTTTCTGCTGACAGCTGAGCTGTGTGGGCCTGTCCCCTTCCCCACACACTGAGCCTGGCTTGGCTCCAGCCAGGGCGGGAGGCCAACACTAGGAGAAAAAGAGAGGAGAGGACAGGAGAGGAGAGGCAAGGCGAGCAGGACAGAAGAGCGGCTGATGCAGGTGGTTGGCTATAAGCCACACTGTCCTGCCCAGCTGGGGACATGATCACAGAGATGCCTGGTGAGCATCCCTGCTAAACTGTGGAGGCCCTGGTTGGAGGGCACAGGATAGATCCTGACACTCAGAAGGTTGCTGGATTATGGAACTAGAAAGCCCAAGATTAGACCTGAGACCTTCAAGAAATATCAGAAACCCCATCTCCATGGTGAAGGCTGACGGTGCTGGCACCTCAAGTTTCTCACAGGGCAACAGGATGAGGGGCCTCCTGGCCTTTCAGGCATAAGAACATGTAGGACAGGATGAGCCTTTGAAGGGGAGTCAGGTTGTGGAAACCTAGAACCCCGGGTAAAGGACAGAGCCCTGCACTCAGGTCTCAGATGTGCCAGTGGCTTGCTGAAAGAACCTGATCAGGCCACTACCCCTTTCTGGGCCTTAGTGTCTCACCTGCCAATGCAAATGCCATTCTTGACCTGCACTTTCTGTAAGTGTGAGCCCAAGACTCCAGGCTCTGAGAGCCAAAGGAAGGAGAAGGGGATCCGTATTTGCACACCCGCTTCCCTTGGCACCGCAGCCAGTACAGGGGATGCTACCAAGTGCAAGGACAGGCCAACAGGCAAGGCCACAGGACTCCAGCTCTAGACTCAGCCTCACATCTGGCTGTGTCTCAGTTTCTCCATCACCGTAAAGGAGCCAAATGGGATAGTAGCTGGGAAGCTGTAAGTGTTCGAGGCTATTTAGGGGACTGGCCCCCTTGCCTGGCCCTGATATCTCTCGTGTCCCCTGGGGATATTTCTGGAAATGGAGATGTCCAGTTCCCGCCCCAGATATAGTTATCAAACTCCTCAAAGGGGACCTCATTCTGTACATTTTTGATGAGTTTCCTGGGGCTGGGAGGCAGCTCAGTGGTAGAGTGCTTGTCTAGCATGTGCAAGGCCCTGGGTTTGATCCCCACACTGCACATTTCCTGAGTGATAATGAAACTCAGCTGGGAGTGGGGTTCTCTTAGCAGAGACGTGGGAGCCTCGGGGAAGGCACTCAGCCTCATCTCCCTTTTGTCCTTCAAGAGCACTGGGCTCTGAAGGCCTTGGGCAATTGGCAGCCAAAGTCAGGAGTAGCTTTCTCCATCAGAGTGAGGTGTAGTAGGCAGCCCTGGTCCAAGGGAGGCTTGGCCTTGAGCTTGGTTGTTATCTTGGTGGACCCAGGTAGCTGTACATGAGGACCCAGGATTTCAGCCTGAGAGGGCTGGCCCCGCTAGGCCAGCTGTGCTGGTCGCCCTGATTGCTTTTCCCAATGCCAGGCCAGCAAAGGACCACAGAGGATGACCCTGAGGCCCATCCTCCTTCCAAACATCCCTTGTCGCTTCTCTGCTCCGTGCCGTTTTCACGCTGTGTCTTTTCCTGTCCCATCTCTTCTCCTTGTTTTTCCAGAAAAGAAAGTCCAGTTCCAGCGTTCAGTTAATGGTGAGTGTCTGCCGTCTCCTCCACGCCGGTAAATGCTGGGCCTCGACCCTTCCTCCCTTGCTCCTGCCTCCCTCCTGCAGGCTGCACGGGAACCCGGGGCGGGGAGAGGGTGCTCAGGGCGTGCTTGGTATGTGGGCCTTGTGTGTTGTGTGTGTGTGTGTGTGTGTGTGGTGTGTGTGTGTGTGTGTGTATTGTTTGCGTGTTTCTGTTGACACCTCCAACTCCACAGCCCAGGCCAGCAGGCTGACAGCAGACCTGAGACCTTCTCGGATGTGAAGGTGGATTTGAGCACAACCCCATGTCCAGCCCTTGGCTTCTGGCTTCTGCCCACCCCTCTGCTCTAGAACTCATCTCAGGGCTTGGTTTGTGCCGGTTGCGGCCAGGGTGGGGCTGTGTTTGGCCAAAGTAGTAGGTGCCATGGAGGTCCCCTGGAGCTTGTAGGTCTGCTCGGGCAGAGGGGCCACCAGCCCTGCCTCTGTCTAGGGCTGCAGGTGGCCCACGTCCCTCTTTTTCTGGATCCATGGCTGTCTCACTCAGTTGTGTGGTTTTTCTCCCCTCTGAAAAGCCCACCCTCTCTCACACTGGGCCTCCCTCTATCTGTCTTCCTCTCCTGCCAGTGTGTGTATTCCTTCCCCATTCTGTGGCCGCCATGGTGTCTCTCTGCTCCTCTGCAACCCCCTCTTTGCCCCCTTGAGCAGAAAGGACCCAGGAATCCCCCTCCAGCCCTTCCAGACAGGCCAGGGATCTCCTTGCAGTACCCCTTCATCCGGGCCCCACCCAGCCACCTGCAGAGTGGGGCCCTGCCTCCTCAGGCCAGGAAGTCTGGCAGGGTTTCAGGCAGCATCTGGATGGCGGAGCCGTTTGGGACTTCAGACGCGGTCCACATTGGCAGGCAGCTGGGGCAGCCCCTGGCTGGCCACACCTGTGCCGCTCACCAGACAGGCCTCACCACCTCCCTCATTCTCTTTGGCAGGAATCTTCAGAGAGCACCAACACCACCATTGAAGATGAAGACACCAAAGGTAGGGGATGGTCTTGCCTCTGGCATCTGGCCCCCAGACTCCCTGGTGCTTTCTGGGCAGACCGCTTCACCCCAGAAAGCCCCATGCCAGCCTGTTTCCTGTGCCTGGGTGGAGCCTTGCCCTGGCTCCTGACAACCGACACACCTTGGGGCACGACGTCCCCGTGTGGGGTACCAGGTTACCGGAAGGGCACGGATGGTCTTTTCTTATTTTAGTTCATAGATTTTACTTTAATACATATTAGAGAAAAAAAAAATTAATCACAAATTCAAGTCATGAATGTGTACTAGTGGTATAAATTTTGCTTCTGAAATAAGTGTTTCTGAGAGTTTCTTTTTTAAAGTGAGTTGATATTTAAAGCACGAAGTAATAATAGTAAAGAAAGGAGGAGGAAAAATCTAGAATATTCAGTCTGCTGGAGCATGGAAAACCGTGCCCAAGACCAACCATAAATGCAAAGGTTATGGTAGCTAAAGGCTAACAGTCCACAAAAATTCTCAAATGAGTAAGGGGGGTGCGGATTACCTGCAATCAGGTGGTAAAGGAGGAAATGGCAAGAATAGCACTCATGGCTGTGATTTATGAATACTTGCTAAGTCCCGTGCCTGCTCCGGGGCCTTTTTCTGGTCTAACATGCTGGGGCTTCACAACAACCCTACAAGGTAGTTCCCTATAGTGGAATCTGTTCTCCATATGAGGAAAGGACAGAACCTGGGTAAACTGGCCCCCAAACCAATTGACCAGCAGGATTGGGAGTTGAACCAGGTCTGGTCACAGGGTAGGTAGCAAGCATTCTGGGAGGCTGGAGGAAGAAACAGAAACCCTGAGCTAGTTTCTGCCCAGGGGACACCAAGTCCCTGATGTGTTAACAATGTCCTGCTGCTCCGCCTGCACTGGGTACCTAGCCCTCCTCATTTCCCATGACAGAGAGTCCGTCGGGTTCAGAGGTTTGTCTATTCCAGCAGGTGCCAGAGACACCTGGGGAGTCTATGAAAATACACGGAAAGGCCATCCATAGAGAGGGAACTCAGCTGTATCTGTTGAGACATTTTCCAGGAGTTTTGATATTTTGCTTTGAAAAGAAGACAATGTCGGGGAAAGAGAATTTTATCATGGCATGCTTTTTGCACAAATGTGATTCAGGCCTTTGGGCAGCTTTGACATGCCACACACCATGACGGTTCCTGACTTCTGCCAGGAGCCTAGAAGATGGGCCCAGCCTGTGGGTGTCTCTTTCTGGTCATTTCCAACTTGGGGGATCACAGCCTGGTGCTAGCAAATCAGTCTTCTATGGCAGCACCAGGAACAGCTTTACAGATGCCTTCTCTTAAAGGATTGCCCACTAGGGTCAAGTCAGTGTGCAGGGTCCCCCCACCCCAGGTACAAACTTCTAACCACATCCCCTGTAGCTCTCCCCCTGTGGATTCTGATTGTGTAAGTCTGTAGTAGACCAAATCATGGGGCTTCTAAGATATTCTCTCTTTCCCAATGGTGAGAGATAGGCTCTGGGATTCTGAGGCAACCGCTTGTGGCCTTATAATTCTGGCCTCAGGGCAAACAGGGATGGTGGAGGTGGCCTGGCTCTGTACTTCCCTGCTAGAATCCACTTGCTGGATGACTTTGGATAACATATTCAACTACTCTGAGACCCAGTTTCCTTAATACCAAAGAGGTGATGATAATAGTACCAACCGCAGAAATCACTATGCAGATGAAATGAGAAACTGCATATAAAATACATCTACCAGCCAGGTGTGGTGATGCACTCCTGTGATCTCAGTGACTCCGGAGGCTGAGGCAAGAGGATTGCAAGTTCAAGGCCACCCATAGCAACTTAGAGAGACTCTACCTCAAAATAAAAAATAAAAAGGGCTGGGCATGTAACTCAGCAGTAGCGTGCCCCTGGGTTCAATCCTTAGTAAGAAAATTAGTAATAATAAATAAAAATAAAAGTATATTCACAACATTTAGTATGCGGTAAGTGTTTTTTTAAAAACAATCTTAATTTCTTTCTTTTTTTTTTTCCAAACTGAGTTCATGATTGGCAGGAAGTCACATGACATTTTCTTAGATTATTAATCTTAATCAAAGATTATATTAAGAAACTATACATTATACAGAGAAGTATTTAGAATAGAATGCAAACTGCATATGCATAATTGTGTAAAATGGGACCATCAGAGACGTTTTCTACCTGACATAACAGCTTCCGGTGACATTCCTGAAGCCCCATGTTTGCTATCATCCTCCTCTTACAGGGATCAGGAGAGGGCACTTTGTCTTGAATTTTACTTCACCTCCGCTTCTCTTCTCAGGAGTGTGAACCCTAGAGAGGAGGAAGGGCATGCATGTATCATTTACTGCAGAACGGGGACCCTGTCTCCTGTCTCAATTTCCCCACATGTAGAAGAGCCGGGGAGGCCATGTCTGTTGGAAGAGCTTCTGGCCCAGCCAGGACCTGCTCCTCATGTGGGAGCGGGGAAGAGGCCTCCTGCCTCCCCCAGCCTCCCCAGCTCAGAGAAAGTTCCCAGAGAACTCTTTTCTGGTGTTAACTTGTTAAGCCCTCTTACTAAGTGAGAATAGCAGCTGGTGGGGTGGACTCCGAACTAACATTAAAGTTAATTAGAAATGTCATCCTCCAGGGAGCAAGTTCCCCCGAGGAAAGGAAGGGACATGAATATTTCAGAGCCCTCTGGCTTCATGCACAGGTCTCTCGCTTTCTGAACTGCACTAGGTTCTCTCAGCCTTCCTCCCCATTTCCCTACCTCCTCCTGATCAGCTCCATGCAAAATTAATTTTCTCTCCAATCTGAAGAACTGGGCAAGGACATTCTGGGCAGGGACATTCTGGGAACTACTAGTTAGGAATGCTGGTCCCATCACACAGCCTCAGCATGCTGTGCAATCTTAAGAGAGCACCTTACCTTCTCTGGGGCCTTGGCCTTCCCATCTGTAGGGAAGCACTCCCAGATTGGATCATCTGGGTGAGTACCTGGCAGAGGAGAAATGCCAGATGTCACTACCAAGCATCTGCTGGATGAATTCCTTGCACAGCAATGGGATTTCTGCGGGCACAGAAAGCTCAAAACAAGAGTGGATTTCCTGTGGAAGAAGCACAAAGACTCTAGATCTTCTGTCCTAGAGAAGAAAGCCGGGGAAGCTCTTACCCACTGGGCTTCGACTGTTGGCAAAATGGTGTGCCAAGTGGCAGGAGACACAGCCTTGAGCACTGTCACAGGCTGCGCTCATGGAGTAAAGGGTCCAGAACTTGGGAGGGGATAGAGAGCTGATATCCTGCACTATCTGGGCCACACCTGAGACTGTGTGTTACCCTCAGAGAGCCTCCAGACAGCGCAAGGAGCCTTGATGAGTGCTTGGCCAGCTTGAGGCAGGACCTGGGAACCATATTCTGAAGGCTCTGTATTCAGAGAAGAGAAAACTGGGTGGCAGGAGACTCAGACAGGCTCTGGGTGGGAAGGTGCTCACTCCAGAAGGAAGAAAGAAGACCAGAACTCTACCTAGGGGCTTCCAGGGACACTGGTGTCAATGTGGAAGAAGAAGGAGTGTACACATTGCAAGTCACAAGCCCACAAGGATGAACCAAGACTGAGCTGTCCTGTTAGGCCGCTGGGAAGCCTCACTGCCCTGGGTAGAGACGCAAGGCTCTGCTTCTGAGATTCCCACATGACAAGAAACACAGCTGTCTGTGATGGGGTGCCATTTGTTGTCTGAGATGCTCAACCCAATGCATCCTTGTTTACATGAGTGGCTTGAGGTTAGGGTCTTGGAACAGCAGCTGGCTCTTAGGGTTAGCTATCTCTTTGTTAGCTATCTCTTAACTCAGTCCTCCAGACAACTCTTCAAGGTAGGTACCATTAGTATCGCCATTATGCATGTGAGGAAACTGAGGCACAGGGCAGCCCTTACTGAAGGACATGCTGCTATTAAGTGGCAGAACCAGAAGAGAACCCTAGCCAGAGTCTGGCTCCAGAATCCATGCCCTGGACCACTTTGCTGGACTCCCTGCGATGGCAGTGACAAGCAGCCCATAAGAGGTAGGACGATATGTGGAGGCTCACGGGATGACAAGCTGGAGGGGTCTCCAAGTTCATGGGGAGAAGGCAAGTGTGGTGGCATGGGTCCCATGTTCCATTAGGAACCCATTGGTCTGCTCTGTGTTGTCACCTCTGGCTCCGTGTGGGAGTGGCTGAACTGAGGTGCTTCCTGGCAGGGCTGGTTTTTCCCATCTTCATCTCCTGCTTTCATGAAGATAGGCCGAGCTGACCAGGATGCCAGGGTCTGGAGCACTAAGGGACGCAGGCAGTCAGGAGACTTGTGCTATTCCAGGGAACCAGGCAAAGGTAGCTGCAGACTCTAGTTTGGAGCCATCCACTGGTTCATTTATTCGCTCTGCACCGAGTACTACCTCTGCCCAACCCAAGTACGGTCCCAAAGCAATGGGGAGAACCCATGTGACCAGGTCATGCACATGGTCTCAAGATGGGCCCATTTCCAGCCAGTTGATGCTAACTGGAGCCAGGAGAAAAAGAATTATTTGTGTGGTGGACATTAAACCATAATCGCTCTATCTGTCTAGCACCCACCACAGGCCCAGGGTAGCTCTGGGCTCAGGTGTGGGGGAGATACTGTGCTTTGCAGCTACCAGCTCTTATTGGGGTCCCAGCTCTACCAAAGGCAGCCATTTAGCTTCTCTCCCCTTTGGTTTGCACCACTGTGATATGGGAGGGAAGCTTTGCAGTGAGGCTCTGAGACTCTGTAGGTTAAGCGCGTGGCTCAAGGCTGGGTGGGTGTGTTCATTCATTCATTCAATATTAAGGGGCTGAGGGGGCGAGGCCTATTCTAGGCTCCAGGGAAGCCACAGCCCAACCCCCTCGAGCTCATATTGAATTGAGAGACAGGAAAGCATGTGGGCCAAGCAGTAGTGAAGTGGAGCGTCGGGATAGTGAGTAGGTTGGGGCACTTGGGACTGCAAGTCAGGCTTGGCACCTGCTGTCTTCCATGTCTTGGGTGAGTCACAGTTTCCCCAGCCTGGAGGAACGATGGTTCTATATCCCATCCCTCTAGGCCTCAGGTGAGCTCTGGGCATGGTCAGCTGGGACAAGGGGCAGGCCAGGACCTCTGCCAGGCTTGGTATTCCTGCCAGCTTCCAGACTAAGCATGCTGAGGCCAGGCCTGAGCCTGCTCTCCAGGCAATGTGCTCACCTACCTCACCTGGGACTGCTCCAGTGGCCAACAAGTGGCCAGGCATGGCAAACCTGGGGGAGGAGGGAGGCGGGGCCTGTCTCTGGGAATCTGAGGGAGGCTTTTGCCAGGCTGTACTGGGAACCAGGATGCCTGGCTTCAAACTCCTTCATCACTGAGGCTTGTCACCTCATATGTGACATGGGGACATGCCAGCCTTGCCTGCCTCCCAGGGTGTTTATGAGGAGCAGAGGAGGCAGCCCCTTGGCCTGGGGCGGGGGGGGGGGGACAGGGTCTTGCAGAAAATGGCAGTACTGACAACATGCACCTACTATGTGTCAGGCTTTTGAACAAGTGCTGCCTGTTCATCACATCACCCCACCCACATAACACATTAGAACCCTGGGAAGAGGACACTCTCATCTCCACTTGGCAGACCAGCAAACCATCTTGTGGCACACAGCTGCACAGTTTGTAAGGACCTGGGCTGGAGTTCAATTAAGATCTGCCTGGGACCAAAGCCCAGCTGGTTTCCATTATGTGTTTGGCTCTGAATGAATGAAGGGTGATAATGTCCTCCATTTTACAGAACGGGAAGCTGAGGCTCAGAACATCACACATCTGATAAGAAAACTGACATCTAACTCTCCACTAGAAAGGTCAGCCGCTCATGGTGTTTCAGTGGCAAAGAGGGGAGAGAGCGACTGGGATCCATGAATGCTAGAAAGTTCTCCACAGCTCAATTCCTGAATCCTGGGGGATTGAGCCAAAATCTCATTCAGTCACAAGGGATGGGTAAGCCTTGAGGCTGTCCTTGATGGCTTCAGATTTGGCCATGATTTGCATGGCCAAGGTAGAAGGGAAGCATATTTTGGAGTCAAGACCTGGGTTCAAACCAGGTCTATGGAATGTCCACCGTGCTTCTTGGTGGCAAAGGCTTCCAGCTGAGACACCTCTGCCCTATGTAGTTGAGAGAACATTCACCTCTCTTCACCCTTCTGGGCCTCAGTTTCTACTTCTTTGAAATGGGGAGAATGCTATCTACCCTGCAGGAACAAGCAAGGATAAATGAGATGATCTGTATAAGGCCTCAGGTCCCAGCACAGGGTCTGCCTGGCACATGGGGACTCAGGAAACTGTAGCTGGTGTTTCATTACTATCATCATCATTATTATTTCTGTGTCCCTTCCTGCCTTACAGTGCGGAAACAGGAAATTATAAAAGTGACAGAGCAGCTGATTGAAGCCATAAGCAATGGAGATTTTGAGTCCTACACGTGAGTCAGTTGGGCTCATTCTGCATGTCCTGCCTGGATCGTGGTTCAGGGGGTGCCAATGGCTAACTTTGGGGGTCCCTGTCGCAGACGCTCATTCATTCGCTCACTCTGCATGTGCTGTGAATGAGACTGAGCTCGAGTTTCTGTTCTGCACTGAGACTTGATGCTTCAACTTGAGCATTCCGCTCACAACACCGCTCTGTACTCAGTCCTCCGTCCCCTGCTCCCCGTCCTCATCTTGCTCCCAGGAGGAACTCCATCAAAGCTCCTTTGCTTCCTCAAGGAAAGAGAGGATGTCTCCACTCCACTGTGGGAAGGAGGGGAGGGAGGTGGGCCCCTCCTCAGTCCTGCCAGTCCGGTTCCTGTCCTGGTCCTCCTCAGCCTCTGACCTCGGCTGGGCTGGAGCAGGCAGGGACCCATAGGGTGGGTACCTTCAGTGAGCAGGGAGGAGCAAAGCACCTCAAAACGGAACCCTGAATTAAGGTTCCGGGGAATAAGGCACCATGCACACAAATAGCATCAGATGAAGCAGGTCCTGTGTGACATCCCACAGTCGCTGCTGGCCTTTGCCAAGAGAAATGAGCATGGGCTTGACTGGGGCGCCCCCTGGTGGTCCCTCCTGCTTTCTTGGTCTGGGCCAGAAGCAGACTCTGCCCATCCTAGGGAGCAAAATTTTGGACTTAGGCCTTAGCATTTTGGCCAGTGCTGATGAGGCCCGGCTCTGGCGACCCCACATATGCTTTTTGGTAGAGAAAATCTGCCAGCTGAGGCTGAGTCACCTTGCCTGTGGGGTTAAGGTGAGTTGGGAATAACTTGGTTGGGGTTCGCACCTTGGACAGTCTGTTCCTGGTGTCCATTGTGCCCAGGAGCCAAAGTGTGCCTCCCAAAGGCTCAGCAGCCAGGATGGTTCTGTAGGGGTGGTGGTGGTATGCAGCAGTGGGTGGCAAAACCCCTAGAAATTCACTGATTTTCTCTGGAGGAACAAGGCGCTTGAGAGGTGCATGTTGAAACTGCAACTGGCCTGTCCTGTACATATGTGTGTATGCACTTGTACACATATGTGCACATTTGTGACTGTGTGCACAAGAAGTGTGCCCAAGTGTGTAGTCACGTGTATGCCTGGGTGTTGCATAGAAGCCCAGAAGCAGGTTGTTAGGCTGGTCTTGCCACTGGCCCTAGAAAAAACTAAATTGGGATATATCATGCCAATTGGGATATATCAATGACTCTGGAAAGGCACGTCCAGAGAGCAAGAGAGTGGGGGCTCCCCCACAGCTCCTATGTCCCTCAGTGCCATTTCTTGAGACCCCTTCCACCTCTGTGATGTCACTTTGGCATCTGCAGCCTACCCTAGGTTCTGACTCTTGCCATGACCTTGGGGCCCTTGTCTGGGCCCTGGAGTCTGGGTGCTGTGTGTCCCTGAATAAGCCCCTACATCTCCCTTAGCCTTGGTTTCCCCATCTGTACAATGCAGCCTCTGAGTCCTGCCATTCTAAGAGGCAGGGCCACCTAGACACCTCCACCAGTGGTGTGCTCAGTCTCCCACACACTCAGCCCCCAGCTCCCATCCTTGGAAGGTTCTGGAGCTGACAGTGTCCTGAGCACCCTATTTGGTCTAAGCACAGATCCCATCTCCCTGGCTTAATCTGGCTGGAGAATCTGAGGTCCTGAGTGGAGAAGTGCACTGTGTGGGCTCACCTGAGCTTTAGGCAGCTCAGGTAATGCTGGGCCTGACATCCTCCTCCAGTATCCCTAATTCCACCCTGGATTGGGTGTTTCATCCTTCCTGGGGCATTTCTTGCCCCTGGCTTCATTGCTTTGCCACAGGGGTTTACATTGTCCCTCAAAAGATTCTATAAATCTGGGGATGAGGGAGATAACTTGTTCCCTTGCCCAGCTGGTTGTCAGTGTCTCCTGGAAGGGAGCAGCTGGCTAATCACAGCCTCTGTTTGCTGAGGGCCTCCTCAGCCACGCCCCCGTGCTCCTCCCTTCCAGGTGCTCCTCCTCTGATGCCATTTTCTTCATCTTCCGGAAGGGGAACTGAGGCTCAAGTCAGGGCACTTCTGCAAAAATTAGCAAAATGCAGGGACTTATTTGGTCTGGTGAACAGAGGTCCCTTTTATGTAAAAGAAACGGTAGCCACCTACCTTCACATCCCAGGAAGACAAATTAGGGAACGCCCCCTCTGGATCCACGGCTCAGGCCGGGGCCCTGCATGGGAAGCAGAAAGCAGGCTCTCTCTCCTGTTGGCACACTTTGCCTACAGCAGGACCCTGCTCACCTATTCGTGTTTCTCTTGCTTCAAGAGGTTGAGCCACTTGCTTGGGGTCTCATAACCATAAGTGGCAGAGCCAGGACTTGTACCTAGGTTTCCTGGATCTAGATGGCACCATCCACTCAGCCACGTGCCACACTTGGCAGTTTGCAAGCCCCTTCCAGTGGTCTCACTGATCGCCCTTCAGGGGCTCCCCCACAAAGGCCACAATAAGAAGCTGCCCCAGCCCCTCTTTCCTCTGGCTTCCTCCCCCAGGAAGATGTGCGACCCCGGGATGACAGCCTTCGAACCCGAGGCCCTGGGGAACCTGGTCGAGGGCCTGGACTTCCATCGATTCTATTTTGAAAACCGTGAGCAATCCCTTCTCTCTGGGGTGCCTGTTGTCTGCTCTCGTTCCATGTCCTGCCGGATGGCACAGCAGGGTGACGGGCAGGGCCCCAGGGGCGGCTCAGGAGCCAGAGAAGAGGAGGATTCCGTATGGACCAGGGTTGGTACCCTCTTGGTTCCCTCTCCTAACCCTGGCCTCTCCACTGCCATCCTGACTAGCCGTTGTCCCTCCTGTGGCTGAGGATGGGGCAAGGTGGGGTGGGGGGTTCCCAGAAATCAGGGATACTGGTGACAAGCCATTGCAGCCCTCTCCTATCCTTGACCCTGGGAGGGGTCTGGGGCAGGCATTAGTTCCTGTTTCATAGATAAGGGAGCCTTCCCACTGGCTCACACCCCAAGCTACATGTCTGAAGCCATCCCGGCTGCCCCGCTGGTCACAAGCTGGCTCCTGGGTTGTGGTGCACATGCCCCCTGTAGGCGGGCAGTGCAGGAAAGAGGGGGGGACAGCGAGCTCACACTGCTGTGCCCCTGCCTGTTTGTCTAGGTCTCTGTCCTGCATGTCCGTCCTTTCTGGGCCTCTCCTCTGCAGGAGAGACCTTGCCAGCTTTGCAACCAGGGGCTGTCAGGGGGCTGCAGCTGGGCCTGCCCTGGGGTGCTTTCTGCCTGTGTCTGTGTCTCACCTAGGCCACGGGTCGGACAGGGACCAGGAAATGGGCATGCAGGTTAGACTCATGCAGCTTTAGGATCTGGAGGAAGGACCCCAGAGGCGGTATATCTGGGGCCCCCCAAGGTGAGGGGCAGGTACCATTAGGACTATGCAACAGGATTTCAGGGCTGTGCAGGCACTACCTGAAACACTGACTATCACAGGGAGAAGGCTGTTCCTTTTAAAATCTCTTTCCATACTCCCGCTCCAACCTAGGGGAAAGGCTCAGCTGGGTGCTAGCCTATCCTTACCAGGTCTCCAAACTAATGTCCCTTTCTATCAAGGATTAAGCCAATTCTAGGCTTCAATCCCTGTCAGGCAAGAACCTGGGATAGAGTTGCATAACTTTATTTTCTCTGAACTTAGTATTAAGATTTTATTCTATGATACTGATTGTTCATTAATGCTTGTGCACAAAAGTTTTCTTTCAAAATAAACATATAAATTAGTAAAGTGAGTCAACCCAGGAACATATCTTCATGAAATAAGCACAGGTGGCCCTTGTATATGGTCAAAACAGCAAGGTCGGTACTTCAGTGACTGAAGATCTCATCCAACTCTTTGTCATTCAGAAGGGGAAACTGAGGCCCAAATAGGGAAATAACTTGTCCAAAGGAAGCCAGAGGCAGAACCTAAACCTGATTCACTCTCCTCCCATTGCCAGTGTCACCAGCTCCATCTGCACAGTAGCAGCCTCCAGTTAGGGGGGACATTCCTTCCCTGGCCTGCACTCTCTCTAACTGAATTTTATAGAGTACAGACTACAGGGGACCTCTCCCTAGAAAAAAGCTGTGAAGAATGAAGCTACATCTTCCTTTAATAAATCAGTAGCAGTAGAGATGAAATCCTTATGTGAAGAGGGGTGGCTGGGCCCCATGGGTCCCCATCACCCTGAAATTCACACACAGATCACTAGGCTACTACCATACCTCTCCTGTCCTGACAAATCAAAAAAGAGACCAGGCCAAGGCTCCACTTTGAGGGTACAGGGATGACCATGGGACCAAACAGAGAGAGGAACCCCTGCAGTCCCCGTCTGCCTGTGCAGCAGCCACCATTTTGGCGCTGGCCCATGTCTTGACCATCTGGTCACGTCCAAGGCAGGATCCACAGGAGCAAAAGGCCCAGAGTGGCCACTCACTCACATCCTCCATGTGGCTAGTTCTTTCTTGTCGAGGGCGTGGCCTTGTTTCCTACCCTATCCATACGGTGGATACTGGGGCCTTTAATCTAAATGAGAGACACCATGTTAACATGGTGTCCTGGGGACCCCAGTCCTTAACAACAGTGGTAACACCCATCCCCTGACAATGCTAAACCATTCATCCCTTCTGGAATTGTTCTAGATTGTCCTAATTCAGTTCCACCAGGAGCCTGACTTCTTTTAGGTTCTGTTGTAGTACTTTCAGAAACTGGCCCAGGTTGGGCCAAGTTAGACGGTTTCTCTGGACCTCAGTTTCCGTAACTACTAGAGAGATGCTTTGAAATAGATGTTTTTGTGTGCCTCCTCCCTGCATGCTGTCAGGAACATTGCACAGATGCATTGTTTAGGAGTGCCCTTTGACCTCTGAGGTTACCCAAGTCAATGACACTAAAGCTCCGCCTTCTGTATGCCTGAGAGCCCAGAATTCTAAGCCTGTTATTCTATATGTTGAAGACTCATGATTTTGGTGATTTATTGAAAACCCTGGTATAGTGTGATTACAATATTAGGGAATGGAGGCTATTGGGTACTTTCTGCAATCCAGAAAAAAATTAGACTCTTTACACTTTTCAGGAAATAAGTGGCTCACAAATCTGGCTGCATATCAGAATCTGAGGGTGGGGACTTGGAAGGGAGATTTTTATTAGTCTCTTAAACTGGGGTGTCTAGGGGTGGAACTGGAGAATATGCATTTTGAATCAGTTATTCAAATAGAACCTATATTGGGGCTACTCTTAAGGGTTCCTCGAAAGGGTGAGAATCAGCCAACTGATTCTCTAACCCACCCCTGGGTCATTGTCTTTCTGTGCTTTTATTTTTTATCTTGATGAAAAAAGAAAAACTAGCAGGAGCTAGTTCAGGTCCTTTTATCAGTTCAGTCATGATTACAAGAGCTATGCATCCCCCCCCCCCCCTAAACTCTGGAAAGCTCCATGACCTCACTCCATGACTACCAATCCCAAAAGTTAAAGGTTCTAAGATTCTACAATTCTCATATTCTCCCTGTTTTCATAATTCTGTATGTTTCTCATGGAGGTGGCCGACAGGCAGCCCACAGGTCACATCTGGACTGCAGAAGCTTTCCACATGGCCTGTGTCATGTTTTAAATTCAAAGTCTATATCACTAATTAAAAGTGAAGAGTTTCATAGAAACATCCAGATTTCCAGATCCTCTTGAGACACCCAGCGTGGCAGCAGGGGTCCCACCTATTCACATGGTAACCCCAGTGAAGCTGTGCGCTGGGCACCCCCTTTAAATGGGACAAGGAGGTCTATCCGCCACAGTTCTCTTTACTCCCCATCATCTCCCTGACCCAGAAGGGTCCGTTTTTGTGCCTGCCTGGCCCATGTAGGATCTGGGTCTGAGGCAGGTGGAGCTCATCTAGTTCCTTAATCATTTTGGCCTTATAATTCCGTGTGTCCAAGAGACTATGATGGTAAAATCCCACTCCCTCCTGTTTGGAAAATTCTGCGTGTCTGAAGTTCACTGCGTCTGCACCGGAGTGGGAGGTCTCTGTTACCTAGCAGTTCTGCCTGGACTCCCAGCTATCCGAGCCCTCTCACAAGACTCCCCTTCTGCAAATGAGGCAGGGGGAGGGGCCTCCCCTGATAGGGCTCCTGTGAGTTGAGAAAGTGAAGGAGGGGAGGCAGGAGGCCCCCCAGTTGCATCTGCTCTGCCCCTCCCATCCCTGCCTCCAGTGTGGTCCCGGAACAGCAAGCCCGTGCACACCACCATCCTGAACCCCCACATCCACCTGATGGGGGACGAGTCCGCCTGCATCGCCTACATCCGCATCACGCAGTACCTGGACGCGGGCGGCATTCCCCGCACCGCCCAGTCAGAGGAGACCCGCGTCTGGCACCGCAGGGATGGCAAATGGCAGATTGTCCACTTCCACAGATCCGGGGCGCCCTCCGTCCTGCCCCAGTAAGAATCCTTCCTTCCTGCTCGCCCCAGGGTGTTCTAAAGGCATGGGGGTTTGTTGGCCTAGGGCGGGGACCTGTCTCTGAAGCCACCGAGCAGGGTGGGAGGAGCCCAGGAGGGAGACCTCGGGGCTGCAGGTCCTGGGGGCCCGAGCTGGATCAGAGCCCTAGGAGGCGGTGGGCGGGCTCCCTCAGGTTCCTTGGGGCTCACCATCTGCACTGCGCCTTGCAGTTGAAGGACCAGGCTGGGGTTGCCGCGTTGCTGTGTCGCAGGGGTCCACTCCTTGTTCGTGGAATGTGCTGCTGGTTCTCCCACTTGGATCTTGCTGGAATTCTCCCCATCACGTTGTCCTACCACCACCACTGTCAACTCTGTACCTGCGTCAAGAAAACCTGCTGTTCACAAAGCCATCACGACTGCAGAGCAAATGCCCAGGTCTCCCAGCCCCAGTTCTCAGTCTCCGCTCTCCTTCTGCCAGGGTGGGGCTTCCTCAGGCCCCGGTGCCCAGGGTGCTGGCCCCAGGGACCCCCAACCTCTACCTGGCTGTTGTTGGCCTAGTCTGGCCTTGGCTATAGGCAGAAATGCCCCAGCCGTGTGTTCAGGGAAAAGGAGGGGCATGTGCTGAGGATCTCTCCTCCTCTGGGGTCCCTGGGGAAGGGCAGATGAACACCCCAAGTCTCCAGAGCCAAACTCCCCTGTGGGAGAGGGTAAGAGAGGAGCAGATACTAGGAGCCCCCTGCTTCAAACTGCTTCCTGACCCCCTGCTGGCCTGTGCTGCCCTTGCGGTTGGTCAGCAGACCTGGCCCCCCATGTGGACAGTCCCACCCCTCAGGTGTCCCCACTTGCTGCCTTCCAACGCTAACCCACCACCCGCCCTCCCATCGCCCCTGGAGAATTCCGGCTTGGTCCTGTCTGAGAGGGGATCTGGTTGTGTTTCAGGGTCAAAAGAAAGCAACGTTTAGGTATCACTTCTACTTGGACCGCATGCCTTTTTATAGCCAAACTTCTGTGTATTTCGTAAATGGATTTTGCGTTAATGGATATATATGTAATAACTAGACCTCTCAAATTATTGTGAGAAGGGTTGGGCTGGGAAGAGGGGGGTTGGGAAGAGGGATGAGGGGTAGTTTTTATTCTGTTCTAGATTTTTTGTTTTCTTCTTCTTCTTTTGTCATTTCTGAGATGGACCTTGTCACCTGTGGTACTCTGAGGCCAAGGGGGGCTCAGCCCAGGGATCATGGTCTCTCTGCCACTCTGGTCTGAGGTGAGCCAATACAGGCTTTCCTCCCAGGATGGGGGAGCATCCGATGCCAGGGTGGCTAGGACATGGCAAGGCAGGGCAGGGAGCAGGGAGGTTGGCAGGACGGAAACATCCAGGCTCTGTTTTGCTACTCCCTCAAACTCGGTCCTATGACTGCACTTCCCAGGATCTCATCCCATCTGTCTGTGCAGCCCTCGTACCTCTGGGGGCCCCGGGAACACGTGTCCTCACTGCCTCTCTCCCTCTGGCATCTGGTGGCCAAAGCAGAGCCCTGGAAACGTCTACTTGCCACGCCTCCTCCTGGACCTCGGGCTCTCCTCCTCTCTGCTCGCTTCTCCTCTCGCCCACCCTCTTCCCCTGGGATTGACTTTGGTGTGAGTGCCTTGGCACGTCCACGGGGATCTGCTGTCTGCACTGTTCTCTTTGCATGACTTTATATGCAGTAAGTATGTTAAAAACAAAAATGAAAAGAAGAAAAACAGCAAAATCAATCTACATGTTTTGGACAAAATAATAATCATAATAATAGAGGTTGTATTCTCAGTGTCCGACTCGGGATTATGTTGCTGCCTCTCCGTGCTTCTGGCCTCTGTGTGGCCGTGTTTTGCCAGCATGAGATACTGTCCCCTCAGGAGGATTTCGGGGGAGGAAGAGCCACATCTCCAGGGTTTTTGGAGGAGGCTCTGGGTATTGGGAGGAGTGGAACTGGTGAGGTCATTTAATCCAGAAATTTCTGCCTTTCCCTATCACGAGCTATCTGCTGGGTTCCTTTTTCAGTCCTGCTGCCCAAGGACGGGTGAGACAGGCTGGGCTGCAGGCCAGGAAATTGGCTGCCGAAGCCTCCTGTTTCCAGGCTGGTCTTTTGCTGGCCTCTGCAAGTTCCTTTGCAGAGACCCTGATGCCCAGGCCTCAGGGTGGGCTCTTGGCCTGCCCCAGGTCCAGAGGGCCTCTCAGTACTGTCCAGTGATCCTATCATCCCAGCAGCAAAACCACCTGTCCCTCTGTGAATTGCCAGGTCCCCCCCAGCCATCCCCAGCCAAAGCTGAGGGTGTGTCTTCACCAGGGGATGCTGCGATTACCGAGCAAGTTCTGGTCTCTTCTTCAGCCTCAGTTTCCCCATTGGTTAAAAGGGTTAAGTGTTCCCACTCAGGCTGATGGAGGATCACACAGATGGTGACATGAAGCCCATCTTGCCTGTGAGAACTTCCAGGCTTCCTCCCTGACTGGCCTCTAATTTGCTTCTGGGCCTGGCCAGTCCCCACCCTCTGCCCCGCTGGCCCCTCGGTCCCCTCTTTGGTGACATCTGCTGCTCATCAGCAGTGGCTGCGGGGGAAAGAGAAGTGGTAGGAGGGTTAGGAGGCTTCAATTCCCAGCTCTGACCAGACTTGCAGTGTGACCTTGGGCCCATCCTTTCCCATCTCTGCACCTTGGTTTCCCTACCAGAGGAAGCTGAGCAGAAGGACCCCAAGGTCCTGCCTGTCATTGGCCGACACACCACCTGCCCACCATGTGCCTCTCCAAGTGCTAGAGAAGTGGAGGCAGGTTCCTGCCCCAGGCCGAGATGGCCCCCAATTTGGAGGTGGGTGGGTGACCGCCTGGTGTAGACCCCGAGGCCCCATAGTGACCCTGAGGCAGCAGGCAGGAGAAACTGGCAGAAAAAGCTTCCCAGAGCCCACCCTCACCAGACTCCATGCTCCTCCCAAACACCTTTAGATGCAAAAAATAAAATTAAATTAAAAAAAACCAAACCCAAGCCAAAACCCAGACTCCAGCATGCAAATACGTTTACAGGAAAGCACTCTCCTGGGTCTGTGCCCACCATGGCTCGTCCCCTCACCCCAGCCTCCAGTCTCCCTTCGGAGGGAGACCCTTTGGGGGATGTGTTTGACAGACTCCCCATGCTGGTTTCTTTGTTATTATTTGTTTTGGGTTTTGTTTTTAGTTCTTTCTTTTCTTTTTTTAAAAAAAAATATGTGGCTGTGAACTTGAATGACCACTGCTCAAACTTTCTGCTGGGGGTGGGCGGGGGGGAGGGAAAGGGGTGTCTGTTTTATTCTTGGTGTTTTCAGTGCAATAAATAGCTACAAACTTCTGTGCACTCCCTGTCTCTCTGTGTCTTGGCCAAGCACCATGCGCTAAGAGGTGTTCCTTCTCTGTCCCAGATCTCTCCTGTGGAAAAAGACAAGTCCCAGTCTTTATTCTGTTGGACTGGCTTAGATGACACGCTCAAGGTTGAGCCAATCACTCAACCCCACACACACCCAGAACCAGGGATGGAATCAGTGTCTTCTCAGGTTCTTGAGGGTACCTTTAACAAGAGCAAGAGGGTGGGTATGGGTTCCCATAACAACCAAGAGGTAAAGTCTTCCTCAGCCCCCCAAGGGGTGGGGAGGGTGTGTGTGTGGGGGAGGGGTTGTGGCCTCCAGGCCCTGGCTTTCCTTGTAGGATGAAGTTGTTTCTGAAATCCTCCCTACCCTTCTCTTCCCTCATCCTAACCTCACAGACTAGCCTCAGGTCTCAGAGCACCTGGTGAGCTCTCTGGGGAAAGGTGTGAGAGGCCTTGTTACCTACAGTTTGTGGGCGGAGCCTCTGATACAGGGGCCTTAGGCTGGGGAGTTGGATGCCAGGAGAGGCCCCATTGGCTGCAGGGAGATTCTCTGGATCCAAACTGCTCGCCTGTGGCCAGGCTGAACCAGAGTGGCAATGCAGTGACTTTGTAGCTCCTTAGCCCATGATAGAGCAGCCAACCACCTTGGATACTGACACGAGATTCTTGGTGCTAATCTCAGGCTTGTTTCAGGCAAACTAGGTGAGTTGGTCATCCTAAGCCATGCCCCACTCCCAGAGGCCTGCATTAAACAGGGCCACAGGGTCCTCCCTGGAGCCCACAGTTCCCTTTAGACTATGCTCCAGGTTCCTGGGATTCCAGAGTCTCCGTCCGCACCAGCTGCTTTCCCAGTCTCTCCTTACTGCTGAAGTGTGGGTGGCCAGGGGGAGTGTGTATGCGGAGTGTATTCCTTGCCCACATGGGAAGACCTCCGCAGCAGGAGCAAGGCCAAGGCTGAGAAGAACAAGAGGGACCTGGGGACTTCTCTTCACACCTTGTCCTGGAGCTCACAAACTCCCAGCTCTACCTTCAAACTGGACTCTTCCCCCTGGGCAGTGCAAAGGGCTTGAGGGCTCAGGCTGCTATTACAGACACCACCAGCAGGTGGCAGAACAGGAGTAAGTCCGACTGTCCTCTGCCTCTGTGTGGCTCTCACACTTTAGGAGGACCCGGATGACCTCAAGAGACAGATAGCCTTCAACTCTCAAGAAGTACCAACTCCACTAGGCACAGTGGCACATGCTTGCGATCCTAGTTACTTGGGACCCTGAGGCAGGAGAGTTGTAAGTTAGAGGCCAGTCTGGGCAAATTAACAAGAAATAAAAAATAAATAAAAAGAGCTGGAGATATAGCTCAGTGGCATAATGTCCCTGGATTCAGCTCAATCCCTGGTGCCACATATACACAAAGTACCAGCTCTCTTCAAAATACTCTCCTCATCTCACAGGAACGTGATGCTCTGTGGTTCACAGTGTGCTTACACAACTCCTCCTGCCAGTCACGACAGCCCTATTTTGAAGATGAAGATAAGACTCAGGCAAAAAGGATTCTTACAAGACCATGAGGCAGGACTCACCAAGCCTTCTAACTTAGAGACACAGTTCTCACTTCCCCCAGGGGCCTCCCTTGTCCTGGTCTGTGTTTCCTTGACTCTGGACACCAGCAAATAGTGACTGGGATTCTTAGAAACTCCCCTACCTTTGACCTTCTGTCCCTGACCAGAGACTCCCTCATCTCTTGGTTGTCTACTCCTGAAGTCCACACTGCAGGTCCCTCGGGGGCTTCCATGACACCCTCTATCCTTTCTCTTCTGTCCTCTCAATCTTCAGCACATCCATCTATGATAGGCACTATCATCATTCTCTCCATTCCATGACTGAGGAGACCGCTGTCACAGGGTGAGGAAGCTGCTCAAGATGGTCCCGGGCATATGGGAGGGAAAGGGGATTTGGACTCTGAGCCACAATTAACACCTGCTTCCCTGAGGTATGCTGGAGCCAGGTTGGACTCTGGGGAAGGATCAGGAATGAGCCAGATGTCTCCCAGAAATCCTTGAGGCCATCTCTGACAGTGAAAGCCATGCACAGAACAAGAATTCAGGGCAGGCCGGGATGGGGGCTGGACCTAGAGGTGCAAACCCTGGGGGAGCCTCCAGGAAGGAGGAGAGATGGTGTCTGGAGCCTGGAGGCTTTGCGGAGGTGCTCATGGGGTGAGATATGAGGGAAGCATGGAGGCCAGAGCAAAGGTCAAGGGCCCAGAAATGGAGTGGGAAGGATGAAAAACATATTAGGAGGAGCCAGAAGTATCAGGCTGAAAGAGAGCCCCCAATGCACCATGATGTGGTTGTCCTTTTCTAAGACATGGTGAGTCCTCAGCCATGGAAATGGCCTTTCTCACACCTGGATTTTAGTAAATCTTTCAGGAAACATCCTCCAGCAGGTGCTGGGAGTGTCTGCATGGGCACCCGGGGACAGGTGGAACAGGTCCAGTCCTATGGAATATTCCCTTCTCCTCGTCCTGCCTTCCCCAGGCCAACCTCAGCCTCCCTCTGCACCTGGGCCTGCCAAGTTCTCAGAGTCTACCTCCCGAAGGCAGCCTGGCCAGGTGGGCTATCCCTTCCCACCAAGCCAAAAGAGGTCACATGACCTTAGATGAGTTACGTCCCCTCTCTGGGTTTCAGTTCCTCATTG